GGGTGAGGGTGCTGAGGGCCGTTTTCAGGCTGGTGGGTGATTGAAGCTCCCAACCGCTCCTTTTTTTCTTTTTTCTTTTTTTTATTCTGGGCCAGCTTTAGCTCTGAGGCCTCGCTGCTGAAAACATTGATACAATGTTGCGGTCAGGCTGGCTGAAGCCTGGCTGACTGAAAGCCGGTTTCTGGGGTTTTGTTTAGCTTCTTATTTGCAACATAGTACATAGTTGCTTAGAGTTGCAGCTGAGAGGCCAGCAATTCAGGCGGGGAACGTTGGAGTCCGCAGTCACTGGAGCAAGCAAGCCTCCCTGTTTGCTTCAGTGCATGGCTGCCGGCCACCATCTTGGCTGACAGTTAATTTGCATAAGGATATGCTGATTAGCCAATGGGAAGGGTAGCAGTCGTACGCTAATTACCATGTTTCTCTTTTATTAGTGTAGATTAGGTACATAAAGCAAAATCCATTACTACTTTAGGTGGAGATTAATAAAAATAATATTGTAATTTGAGATTGTGGCACACAACATCACTCCAGCACAGATGGGGTGGGCCTAGCGCTGGCTCTCTGGGTGTGACCTATGCACATTGTGTTAAGGGCCTGCGCTTGGCTAAATGCTCTGCTGTCACCCTGTTGATGTTCTTAATAATTTTGGAACAAGGACCCACGTTTCCATTTTGCACGGGGCCCTGCAAATTATTTATCCAATCCTGAGTAGGCATAAATTAATTATAGAGAGGTTTTACACCATATTATTTTAAAGTTTGAATTGCTACTTGAACTTTTTAAAATATAAACAAAGAATATGATTGCTACTGTCCAAGAATCATTTACAAAAATAGGTCATGTTCAATGCTAAAAGAAGACCTTGCTTTAATTCCCAGAAGCAAAAATCACTGAGACCTTGTTCTCTGATAATACGCAATAAAATTAGAAAGTTTACATTTTAAAAAATCAGTCACTTTTATTTAGAAAATGATGACAAACAGCTAGCTACCAAAACTTTTTTGAGTTGGTAAAATGATACGTTCTTTACCTTTAAATGAATCAAAGATACTAAATCCAGTACATACTCACTTATAAGCACACATATGCACAAAGTTTGAGGAAAGTGGAATAGAGCTAATAAAAATAACATTAAAAATTAGAAGAGAATAAAGTAGAATTAATGAGTAAATCTAGAACTAAATGGTGCTTTGCAAAAACAAAATATATTCTTAGAAAATTTAATCAAGAAGAAAATATAGAACCAATGAGAATAGAAAGAGAAATCCATATAATCACAGATGTGTAGATTTAAGTAATTAAAAAGCAAGTTGTACACAGTTTTATGTAAATACATTAGAAGATCTAAATGAAGTGAAAATTTCCTGGGGAAAAGGGCTAAATTCAAATAAATGAAATACTGAGAAAGAAATTGAGAAAATTTTCAAAAAACTTCTATGCCAGAAGGCTCTTGGGCTATCTTACTTTGCTGATTAATTACTTTATATGTACAAGGAAATATAATTACCATGTTTTTTTTTGTTGTTTTTTTTTTAAATGTTTTTTGTTGTTTTTTTTGTTTGTTTGTTTGTTTTTTAATATATTTTATTGATTTTTTTACAGAGAGAAGGGAGAGAGATAGAGACTTAGAAACATCGATGAGAGAGAAACATCGATCAGCTGCCTCCTGCACATCTCCCACTGGGGATGTGCCCGCAACCCAGGTACATGCCCTTGACCGGAATCGAACCTGGGACCTTTCAGTCCGCAGGCCGATGCTCTATCCACTGAGCCAAACTGGTTTCGGCTATAATTACCATGTTGTAAGACTTAGAAAAAGATGGAAAACTACTGTGGCAGTAATTCCACTTCAAAGAATCTCTACCAAGGAAACCATCCACAATGTTTACATTCCCAACAGTACTCATCCCCGCATTGCTTTATAACAATTAAAAAAGGGGGGGGGTGTCTGAGAGTACAGAAAAGGATGCATCCAAACTGCATATTATGCAGCTATATAACCGATGTTCACGAAAAGGCTTTAAGGACAAGGGAAACGATTCTACTACCTTAGGTGGGGGAGGGGGCGGGAGGGGCAATCAAAATGCCAGGGATCAACCTCTTCATACGATACTCAGACTGTCACTGGGTAAAATCACGGGTAATTTTTGTTCTCCTTCCTACACATTGCTGCAGTGTCCATGTGAACATTAATAATTAAAAGAAAAAGAAATTTAACGAAGTGTCTTCAAGACCCTCTGCTTCCCCAGCTGAAAGCACTGACACGGGTGACCTCCAGACATCTAGGGCAACATCATGGGGAGTGTGGTTTACCTACCGATGGAAGTCAGGTGTCTAATCACCCCCTCTTCCTTCCAAGGCTAACCTGGCCAAGCAGGAGGGCCGCTTAGCGGTCGCCAATGCTGAGCTGGGGAAGGCGCAGGCACTGCTTGATGAGAAACAAGCCGAGCTGGATAAAGTGCAAGCAAAATTCGATGCGGCAATGAATGAGAAAATGGTGAGATTAAGTACCCAAAGCGAAGGAAATGTATGGAAATGTTACGCAAGTGTACAGTATGTTGCATTTAGAAATTAGGTCCATGTGTGTGACCGAAAAGATTTACCTGAATGCCCCTCCCTGCTAGCGATGTCTATTTATTTTGGATCTTTGACACTCCAAGTTCTTTTTAACCATCACTTTCCATAAGGGGAACTGTGACGTCGGCACCGACTTTGCGGTTGGGAAACTGGGCTTCAGGTCCCGCTCAGGCACTTATTAATTGTGAAGTTGAGGGTAATTGTCCTCAATTATCCATCAACTGGGGATCCTGATCCGACCTCTGAGGTCAGATGTGAAGTGGTGGCCTGGTTGTGAGGCAGGGGCCAGGGGAAGAACAAGGCCCTGTGTGGAGGGTTTGCTCACTTCTGGGGTCTACCCATCACTGCCACTTTTACGCTGTCATTGTGAGGACACTGAACCCAGATTTGGAAAAACATGTGGCAGCAGCAGCACCACAACATACGATTTCCACCATGCCGACACAGCGGGCCTAGCAACCCCAACTAGGTAACACTGAGACGGAGTAAGTAATTAGGAGGTGATGGGTTTTGGTGATCCGTTACCTTTTCTTTTAATATGATTTGTTTACTTATAAGTTTACATAATTTAATTTTTAATAACGGCTGTTTAACACCAGCACACATTCCCTACAACTTTCACAATTGGCTCTTGTGAGCGGATGCAAGCTGCCTGCGGCACACGACTGTTGTGTAGAAATTTTCTGGGGGAAAATCTTGGTTAACTGCAAAGAACTCAGAATTATTATTAAATCCAAGTCTTTTAAAAGCACTATATTTTATTGTTTTGGTTCTATTTTGAAAATATTTAATAGAAATACTATTTCATTTTATTTAAAAAAATTTTTCTTTATTGATTAAGGTATTACATATGTGTCCTTATCCCCTCATTGCCCCCCCCATAAAAATACTATTTAATTGATGTGATTTGTATTCTAGCTTACAAAATTGCTTTTCTTGAAATTTTGTAATGTAAAATAACTATATACTGAATAAATTACCAGAATTTAACAGGTAAGGTTTCCCTTACACGGTATTTTTAGATTATATTAATTTTACACATTAAGAAATTCCTCCAGGTATTTTACAGGCGAATATAATGGGTATTTAATTCAGGGATTTAAGAAGTTCTTGAGACCTTCTTCCTGTATGAACACAGGACTTGCTCAACGATGCCGACATGTGCCGGAAAAAGATGCAGGCAGCCTCCACCCTCATCGACGGCCTGAGTGGAGAGAAGATCCGATGGACTCAGCAAAGCAAAGAGTTCAAAGCTCAGATTAACAGGTATGCATCTCGGTCTTTGTTATACTCGCTCTCCATCTCGGGCACCACCCCAAAGGCCACCTCTTTGTGACGCTAGAGAATGTAAAACCCATCTCCCGTGAAGAGCTTTCTCCGGCGGCGTTTCCACATACCCATCGCCGAATCCCTCCGTCCAAGAAACTGCTTGCAGCTTAAGTTCCGCGCTCTCGCTCTCGCTCTCGGTGAAACAGAGAGGGAAGCACCTTTTGTGAGGCACCTGTCATCTCCACGCAGGCTCAGCCGTGTGGCCTTTCCAACTCCTTCCACTGTGGAGGGTGACTGTGTTTTCTCCTCCACAGGCTCGTGGGTGACATTCTGCTGTGCACCGGATTCCTCTCCTACCTCGGTCCTTTCAATCAGATATTTAGGAACTACCTGCTTAAAGAGCTGTGGGAGCTGGAGCTGCGGGCGCGGAAGATTCCTTTCAGTGAAAACCTGAATCTCATTTCAATGCTGGTGGATCCTCCAACAGTGAGTGTTTCTGTCCTCATCACATTATTTGAATTTCAGTCTCATTTTATTTCTTACTAAGAAATCAAGGTATACCTACTTTTTTTTTCTCTTTTCATTTAATTGAAAAGATTGTTTGAAAATGCTTACGAGCTCCAAAAATGGATTTTCTCAGTTGTATAAAAGTTACTCTGCATTTTAAGAAATCCTCCTTTCCAATGAGTCCCAGTTGCACTGCTGTGAACTAAAAGGCCATTTGTGAGTTACAGACAGGCGGATCGTGAGCTCTCCTGACAGCCCTACACCATCCTACTAAACCACGTGCTCTCGCAAACATCCCAGGCCAATGCAGACATTAGCTAGGCCCCAAGCACTGATATTAACCTTCTCTTGGTCATTAGCGATCCCTTATTAGCAGCACGCTCCGTGTCACTGAGGAACAGCGTGACCTACCTCCCCAGCCTCCCTCGTGGGGAATTTGGCGCCTCTGCCCATTGCCAGTGCCCCCTGCAGGGCTCCGGTGGCAGTACACGCTTGCCAGGCCATTTGTCTTCATGAGCTGCTTTTCTGATTTGTGAATATGCTCCCCAGTTGCCCTAGAGACACCATGCTACTAATTGCATGTTCTCTCTACTTAAAAATTAGTCTTTCCAATTCAAACAATGTTGACATGGTCCTGACAGGGACTCGATCAGGTATTGAATATAGTGGGTCACTGGTGAGACTCAGTGGGCCAGGCTATTCTTTATTAGTTATGGCCTTTGAAGGCGGAGGCTGGTTGGTTCCTTGGATCTCGGGTGATTTTATGGACACGTGGAAGCAGGCTGGCAATTCCCTCTGATTTTGGAAAAGAAATATTTCTTTTAAATGTCATTGATGAGCTCCTGCCAATATAATATCTTGTCTCTCCTGACTTCTCTCCCTCCAGCTACGCAACCCCAGACCTCACAAAAGCAGAACCAAGGGCAGGAAGGGGAAGTGTCAAGGGCTTATCTCCTCTGACATCTTTCTTTTTCTTCTTCTTCTTTTTTTTTTTAATCCTCACCCGAGGATATTTTTCCATTGATTTTTTAGGGGGCATGGAAGAGAGAGGGAAAGACAGAGAGAAATGTCAATGTGAGAGAAACACATGGATTGGTTGCTTTTTGCACGCACCCCGACCAGGGCCCAGGCTGGGGAGGAGCCTACAACTGAGGTACATGCCCTTGACTGGAATCGAACTTGGGACCCTTTGGTCCATAGGCCGACTGAGCCAAACCAGCTATGGCTTCTCTGACATCTTATCACCTGTAACCATTACCTCTGCCTCCTTTAGCCAGTCTGGACCCCACCCACAAAGCCAGCCTCACCATATTTTAAGCCCCTGTGTTCTCCGAATGCTCAGCAACCAAGCTTCATGTAATCAATTTAACAATATTAACTCAAGCATGAAAATATAACATACAGAACTAAACCTAGTCTTGCATCATGAGAGAAAGGATTTATTTATTACTGTTTTTTTTAATTTAATGTTACTTGGTTCACATTTACAAATTTGGGGTTTTTTTCTGGGTACCTGTTGCACATTCTCAATGGAAAAATAAATGTCCAAATGTTAAATTCTTTTATATTGTGGTGCTTTTAACTACTAATGAAAGCTTTCTCGTTCTCCTTCGAATGGCCATGTCCACTTCCTGTCATTCAGATTGGCGAGTGGGGACTGCAGGGTCTACCAGGAGATGACCTCTCGATTCAGAATGGCATTATTGTGACGAAGGCCACCAGATACCCACTCCTCATAGATCCACAAACTCAAGGCAAAACTTGGATTAAATCAAAGGAAAAAGAAAATGACCTGCAGGTGTGTACCATTTGGTGCAGGGAAAGTAATCCTGAAATCATGAAATATCCCCCAAATTTCCATTGAATCTGCCAGTCACAAAGTTGTCATCTCTGTAATTGTTTGCTAATGTACACCCTTGAGTTTTTGTAACAGGGGTTGGGGCAAAGGCTTTGCCATTTTCTCTCTTTTGTGCTCTCCCTTGATTGCACTCTCCCCTCTCTGTCCATTGCCCTGGCTCTATTGTGGATGTGGGATATGGCTTCTATCCTGGGCCTTACAGGGAAAGCAGCCAAAGAACTTGTGATTTGGGCCACCTGCATCACTCGCTCAGGCACTCGGTACTACATAGCATACGAGGGTCCAGTGTTGGGGTTGGTGTCTAATAAGGTGTTCATTTTCATTCCTGAAAGTGAAGGACAGGATTCCAGCCCTCCTGACTCCCCGGGGGGATCTCATCACCATTGATATTTCAATTCAGCTTCCCAGGTGGACTGTTCATTGTTTCCTAGACACGGTTCTAAGCCTCCTGGATCCATATTTTTGCTTGTGCTATTTCTCCTAATGAGGATGTCTTTCTCCACCCCACTGCCCACTTCCCTTACATCGCAGGTAAAAATCTTAAATATCTCAAAGTCCACATCCAACACTATCTTTGTCAAGAATTCTCTGGGTCTGAGGAGCGCCCCTCTCCTCCTCTTTCCATCACAGAGAGCCCGTTACACACCCAGGACTTCACAGGCCACGACTCACCGAGCTTTGAAAATTGCTGCTTTTATTTTTATAAACAAGGCTTCCCAAATAGCCCTCAAAATTTGTAGCCAACTCTTGGTTTCCACTGAGGAGGAGGCACATTCTTTGTGCCATTTGTAGAGTGATGAGCTCTTGTTTTTAGGTGACATCTCTGAACCATAAGTATTTCCGCACACACTTGGAGGACAGCCTTTCCTTGGGCCGACCGCTGCTCATCGAGGACATTCGTGAAGAGCTGGACCCGGCCCTGGACAATGTGTTAGAAAAGAATTTCATTAAATCAGGCACCAATTTCAAGGTGAGCTTTGTGAAAAACAAGAAAGAAAAGAATAATGGTGACATCTACTTATCTTTTTGAGCATAGCAGTAAAGGCAATTTCTTTCAAGTATTTGGTATCCTGGAAAAAATAATTTCCAAACTCATGTTCAGTGTTTCCTTTAAAAATACATAGTATTAGCCTGGCTGGCGTGGTTCAGTGGTTGAGTATCGATCTATGAACCAGGCGGTCATGGTTGGATTCCTGGTCGGGACATGTGCCCGGGTTGTGGGCTCGATTCTCAGTGTGGAGCGTGTAGGAGGCAGCTGATCGATGATTCTCTCTCATCATTGATGTTTCTCTCTCCTCCCTTCCTCTCTGAAATCAATAAAAATATTAATATATATATGTATATTAAAAATATATACATACTGTAGTACAATATTAGAAATATTAAAATATATAGATAAGCATATATATTTTAATAAAAAATATAGGGGGAGGGCAATTTCTTGCTAAGAGTAGTCATTTCACTGAAACTAAATAATATATTAAGGAAAGACATCGTTTAGTCTTAATAATAAGGTATTATATGTATTTTAGCAACTCCAAGAAAATTGGTTTTGTAAGCCATATATACATCTATACAATAAAACCTATATTTTATTGGAGAAAATAGCATTTTAATAAAGTCTATGAACATTGATTTGTTCATTTCTCTCTTAACGTTCAGTCTAAATTCATGGACTTTGCTGGAAGCTATGGAATAGTGTTCCTGATTTTTTATTATAATTGTTTTCAGTCTGTTTTTTTCTTTCATTGGTCATTCTCTATCTTTAGGCTTCTTCGGATTTTGATTTTTTGATGAATGACAGCCTTTCTGGTTGAACTTTTTTTATTTGGACAACTGAATTTTATGAATATCAGTGAATAAAATTTGAAATTTGAAAAATTTTCCTCACTAAACAAAGAGATTTGTGTAGAAAAAACTTCTTCATAATGTGAATTCTTTTATATGCCATGTTTAATATGCCAAAGGAGGTTGCAGACTCGCCATTCCTGAAAGTCCTTTAAAAGACCCCCAATTCTTAACCGCAGCGCCAAGGCCTGCTGCCTGAGAATGTGCTAGCCCCCCTAGCATGTGGATTAAGATTAAAATCTAATTCATGTAGAAATGTTATAAATTCCACCTGACTTTTTTTTGTTGTTGTTAATCCTCACCTGAGAATATTTTTCCATTGATTTTTTTTTTTTTAAGAGAGAGTGGAAGGAAGGGGAGAGACACAGAGAGAAACATCGATGTGAGAGAGCAACACTGATTGGTTGCCTCCTGCATGACCAGGACCGGGGATCAAGCCTGCAAGGACCACGCCTACCACCAAGGTACATACCTTTGACTGGAATTGAACCCAGGACCCTTCAGTCCTGGGGCTGACATTCTATCCACTGAGCCAAACCAGCCACGGCTCCACCTAATTTTTAGACAGCAAAACCTGTTGTTTTTCAATATACTGCAGATTGTAGTGTTTAAGATAAATGCCATCTTTCTGGAAAATTATATTGGCATTTTTCTTCTTTGGAAATGTTATTAACCCTTTCTGTTGTTAAGTGGGAAAAATACGTTGGCATGTTTTTTCTTTGAAAATTTTGTTAACCCTTTCTGTTGTTAAATGTGCTTCAGATATGACTGTGAAATGGAAGAAGAAATTATGTATTCTATAAACACGACAAATTTCCATAGCAGGAAATAATTTTCTCAAGTGGAAAAAACAGTCAAGTCTTTGACTGAGTTTTTCTTTATTCAACATTTGTCTTGGATAAAATTTTCATTGAATTTGCTTGGTGTTATGGCTAAAAACATCTCCAAGCAGGACCAGAAATGTAACTTATTCTAAAGGGATAGGCTTTATTCTTTAAGATCAATGATTAAAATTTCACAACTTTCTTTTGCAGTTCCTCCAAGTTCACAGCACTAGCCTCTGGTAAAGTATTTCTTAAGTTGAACCCATCGTGCTAGTCCTGTCCTCTAAGCCTTTTTAAACTTTCTATTTGCATTGACGTAGGTGAAAGTCGGTGATAAGGAATGTGATATCATGGATTCATTTAAACTTTATATTACTACAAAGTTACCGAACCCTGCCTTTACCCCCGAGATCAATGCTAAAACATCAGTCATTGACTTCACCGTTACGATGAAAGGGCTTGAGAATCAGTTACTAAGGAGAGTAATTCTAACAGAGAAACAGGTAATAATTTCTCAAGGTAAAGAACCTTGACTTAAACTATAATAAATGTTTAAACTTTATTAGGAAATTGTTAAGTCTATGGACAAAAAAAATTAAATAAATCCTGTTTACTTTTGTTAACATAAATATTTGTTTTGTAGTCTCAAATCCTGTCAGGAAATCATGTAACTAACTTACCTCTCCTCTAACTTCAGACACATACACACACACACACACTCACTCACACACACTCACACATTCACACCCCTATTTCCACTTCCTACATCTGACTTTAAACCTTCGGGTATGTTGACTTTCATCTTTATAGTCCTGTGGATGGATGGTCTTGGATATAACTGAAAAGTTTGATAAAATAATGATTCCGGAGAAAAAGAAATTGCTCTGAATGAGTATTATTACCACTGTAGTAGTTTCAACCACTACAATCTAATAATCTAATAATATGGAGAGCCATACTTTTATTTTAATCAAGTGAAATTTGCACTAATGCAGGGAACATATTTAAGTATAATTGAGAGTTCTAATCAAACAAAGAACAACTTAAGATGGGGTGATTCTAAGAGCAATTAAAATAAGATTAAACTAATTGTTAGGATAAATGTCAGAAAATGTTAAATGCTATGCACAAAATATAATTTTCTATATCTGCAGATATAAAATATATTTGCACAAATATAATTAATTTTGGTATTAAGGGTTCAGCGGAAAGGCAAGGCTAGAAATAGAAAGACCAGAGAGGCATAAAATGGGAGGGTGAGAAGATGGCAGAAGAAGACAGGACAAGGAAAGGAAAAAAGGCAAGAGATCCGAACAGATGGACACAAACAGAGAGGAAAGACATTCAAAAACGGAAGGAGGAATGACACTGACCACAAAAAAAAAAAAAGAGAGAGATAGTAAAAGGAGAAGTGAAATTCTACCTCGTTCATAGAGATGGTCACTTGGTGCAGGCCTGGAAGGGCGGCCAGTCTGGCGGAGGGAAGGGCACAGTCCCAGCTTCCATGCTCATTTGATCCTAGTTAACAACAAACAACCCAGGGCTTATGCAATCCAGAAAGAGAATCCATTCCACTTCCACAGCCAGGCAGAGAGAGCACGGGCCCCTCCATCACTTCTTAAGGCCTCGTGGTGTCAACTGGTAAAAACTAGTCCTTCCTTTGTGGTCTGCTTGGTGCTGTCAGTCTGTTCCAGGATGATTCCTCAATGGTCCAGATCCCCCATGTAGGCTACACTAGCTTCTGTAAGGCGGGCCCCTCCGTGTCCCAGAGCGCCTACACTCATTCTTCTAGGCCTGGACTCCCTCTTCAAATGATGTGCTAAGATGTTCGCACCAGGCTTGCTGGAGAAACACAATGCACACTTAGTCTGCAGGAGACCTCCTGACTGCTATGTTCACCCTCCTAACAACCTGCTCTGAAACCCGTTTTACAGGTGAACAAGTGGAGACCAGAGAGAATAGGGTCTTAACCTGTGAGAGCACACAGGCTTTCCGCCCTGCCAGACCTCGGTAAACGTTACAGGTCATGCTGTAAAGCTCACAAGCATCCACTGTACCGTGATGCTTGTGTTTCTGTATCTTACCGACAGGGAAGCTAACGGTATTCATTTTGTCCACGTGTTCCTATACTGCCACCCAGGGGTGACTATGCTAATGAAAACAATACATTAGCTATTCCCCTGCAATCACAGCCAGGCTCTTCAGCTCTTCGTTGCCACTTCATCACATACTGCAAACCTGATAGTGAATGGTATTATACACTGGATACGCTGGTCTTGGAGTAGAATAACAAGGCTGTTAGGCCTTTCTCTGACAGTAGCTAGCTATGCATATTATATTGAAATGCTATTTGGAGTTAATATTTCTGGGTGCTCAGTTTCCCCGGACGTAAAATAAAGTTGATGAGTAAATTCAGCACATTTTAACTTAACAAATACTTATTGGGTTGAGTCCATTCTCTGCAAAGCCTTGAGGTAAGTGCTGCCAAGAATACAAGAACGCGTAGGACAAGTTCCTGCCCGTTAGATGTACGGCTCTAATTGAGACGCACGTCGTGGGAGGTATGCCGATGGGTGCTGTGCTGTGGCTCTTGATTGACAGGTTGGTTTAGGAAGACCTGAAAATGGAGGAATTTCCAAAGCAGTTTTTCAAGAAACTTCCTCAGCTAAGTAGTTTAAAAACACAGTTCGGAGTACAAGTTGTGATTCTGCATAAAATCAGAAGAGAGTGCTATCAAGAATGTTACTGAGACTATTTAAGTTTACTCTATATTTAGCAAGAGTATTATATCCACGTTAAATTTCTAAGTTTGAAAATTGCACTATAGTTATGTAAGAGAATGTCTTGGATCTTAGGAGATTTGCTGAAGATGTTAGGTAGAAAGGATCATAACATTGGCAAATGGTTCAGCAATGATGATAATAAATATTATATATAGAGAAAGAGTGATAAAGCAAAATGCTATTTGGTGAACCTAAGTAACGGGTTTGTGAGAGCTCATTGTACCAGTCTTGCAACTTTTCTGAAAGCTGGGAAATTTTCAAAATGTAATTTTAAAAAACACATCATTTATGTATGAAAAATATACCTCCCAAACATCCAATTTAGCCTCTGTTGTAGAAGGAGCTGCAAAATAATGGAAAATGGATTTGTATTGGCAACTGGCTATGCCAAACCAGGTACCTGGAGTCCCTATAGACAGGCCCCAAGCGAAGAGCTCACTTTTGGCTTGGGTTGCCTTGTGGTTTCTTGGTATTAATTAATGCCTCTTTGTTTCTACCACTTCTGACTGCAAATAAAGTTAACATTTCTCCCAGAGCCAATGTGGACACAGGGCCAAGAGAATTGGACGCTCTAATTTAAATAAACGGAGAGCTGGAAAGACAGCTGGGGATAATTGGGCAAAATTATTTTAGCAAGGTAATCACATGCACGCCCGTGTAAGTGCTATGGAAACTAAATGCTACTGGGCATAATTTAAAAAAACCTGTCTAGAGAAACAAAAATATGGAAAAATAGGTTTGACTAGTGGTAGCAATTTCCTGTCATTCAAAAGGCATTTGGGGTTACACTTTTAAAAGTTTGTAATAAACACTAGTAAGTTGGATTTACGGTAATAACTGGTAACATTCCGAGGTTGTTTTGTGTCTCTTAATAACAGGAGCTAGAGTCTGAGAGGGTTAAACTTTTGGAGGACGTGACTTTCAATAAGCGGAAGATGAAAGAACTTGAAGATAATCTCCTCTACAAATTAAGTGCTACAAAAGGTATTGTGTTATCACGACATCATCAAATAATGGATTCTGAAGAAGGATTTCTTGTATCCTCTTCTCAGCGGCCCCAGGATGACAGATGTTAGGAAACAGTTATCAATGCAAAGACCAGCGAGGCAATTCCCATGGAGACATTACAGAGGGGCGGCAGGGAATCTGATTACTGAATTAGCAAACAAGGCCTGCGCATTTGAGAATAACCGTTTTCTTGATATAATTGCTCTCTCCTGAGAAAGGAAGGGCTCCCAGTAGAGCTAGGTAACTCATAATAGGCTAATTTGCTTGCCCAACGGAAACGAATGGGCTCCATCTATTTTTTTTAGATTCACGCTTTCAACTGGCGTTGAAATGTAATCACCACATGGGCTCTGAGGTGTGTAATCTGTGGTGGAGGCACTTCAGCACCCAAGGCCCCGTTGACCCTTTTTTTTTATTGTTGTTGTTAATCCTTACCTGAGGATATTTTCCCATTTATTTTTTTAGAGAGAGTGAAAGGGAGGGAAAAAGAGAGAGAAACATCGATGTGAGAGATCAATGCCCCAACCAGGGCAGGGCCGGGGATTGAACCTGCAACCCAGGCCCATAGGTCGACGCTCTATCCACTGAGCCAAACCAGCGAGGACCCAGCTTACGCTTGGTTTGACTTGACCTCCCACTTAGAAGTCAGGTTCTGCCTGGGCAGTCAGATCCTCGAACCACCCCCTGATTTGGGGATGTGTTCTCTCTGAGTATGTAAAAATATTTTATCCAAAGGAAATAAAATCAACAAACACTACAGTAGGCAGCTTAATGCCATGTAAATTCTACCATTAATTAGAAGTTTAATGATGAATACTTCCCAATAGCACTTTAATCCTTGGATTAAAAAAAAAATCTTAACCTCACAGAAGAACACTATGTGTTCTCTCACAGCAGTCCCTAGCATCACCTTCCAGGTGACCTGAACGGAAGTCCCATTTTCTGCCTTAATTGCAGTCTGTCTGTCTCTTGGTGCAGTGCGTTCTCCTACCATTTGGTTCCTCTGGGGATTCTAAATATTAGAAAGATGGCTGAGGGCTCCTCTCCTGACCGGGCCAAGAGTGTGCTGGCTCCAGGTCTCTTTCCTGTGAGGTTAACTGCAAGTTGGATTCCATCTGTGGACCTAGTGCCCATCGGAGCAGCTCCATGCCCTCCAGCAGCTCAGGCCCTGCCCTGAACGCTGGGCTAGGCCAGAGCACTGCTGTTTGCAGACATCGTGGCCATTCGCTCAGCATGTCCAAAGTGCCTTCCATGTCTCAAAATCAAATTCACTGTCACAAACATGTTCTATCTATTAGAAACAATAATGAAGGGTAAAAATAAAATTAGGGTCTTTCTCCTGGGGAGACACTCCTGCCAGTGGAAGGGCTGTTCTCTAAGGCAGCAGTGGAGAGTGCACCATTAGCCTGCAAGCCGGTGTGCAGCGTTCGGGGCAGCGCCGCTGGGAGCCCAGCTGGGCGGGCGGGCGAGCTCATGACACTGCAGGGCGCCATCAGGGTGACGATGGAGGTGACAGGGGAGGTCCCTGGGGTGGGCTGCCTTGGGGATGCAGACTTCTAGGTGGCGAGAGGGACAACCCTTGCAGGAATGTTTGGAGGAATTCAGGCATCGGGTGGTAGCTAGACTAGAAGCCTTCTGAGCTCTGAAGAAATGGGGTTGAAAATTAACGGGGAGGTTTCTGAAGGGAGGCACCTGGCTTTCCAGCTTCCCCGCCTGTGTCCTACAGTTCCCACCCTCTTCCTGTTGGGTTTTTAGGCTCCTTGGTAGATGATGAGTCTCTCATCGGTGTCCTCCGAACCACCAAGCTGACAGCAGCTGAAGTGAGTGAAAAGCTGCACGTGGCCGCGGAAACGGAGGTCAAGATCAACCTGGCTCAGGAGGAGTTCCGGCCGGCGGCCACCCGCGGGAGCATCCTCTACTTCCTCATCACAGAGATGAGCATGGTCAACATCATGTACCAGACCTCCCTGGCCCAGTTCTTGAAGTTGTTTGACCAGTCCATGGCCAGGTGGGCCTCGCGACCTTCCCCCCAGAGCAGCAACTTAAACACTTTTGTTTATACAGCGGGGCCTTGACTTACGAGTGTCCCGACTAACGAGTTTTTCGAGATACGAGCCGTCTCTCGGCTGATTTTTTGCTTTGAGTTGAGTTGCGAGCTAAAATTCGGGTTACGAGCCAGCTTCAGATACCCCACCGCTAGTTGGCGCAGCGAACGTCACAGTGATTTGACATACGAGTAATTTGAGTTACGAGCTCCGTCACGGAACGAATTAAACTCGTAAGTCAAGGCCCCACTGTATTCCTACTTCTTTGATTTTTAAAATGTATTGCAGATCTGAGAAGTCTCCACTCCCTCAAAAGAGAATTACAAATATTATCGAGTACCTGACATACGAAGTGTTTACATACTCTGTCAGAGGCCTGTACGAAAACCACAAATTCCTCTTCGTGCTCCTCATGACCTTGAAGATCGACCTCCAGAGAGGAACAGTGAAGCACCGAGAGTTCCACGCTCTCATCAAAGGTGAAGGGTTTGGAATATGGATGTGACGTAAAGGATATTGCTTCTGATGCGCTCTCGGGTGGGCTGTTAACTAATTTCTACAACATAGTAGAGCAGTTATGTTGTCAGGAAAGTGAAGCTCTTTATCTATGCCCCTTTTTTTCTGACTTCCATTCATTGTGCTCTGGTTACTCAAGGTAGCGTACTCCAGGGCTGTGTTAACGCTATGATTCTCGGTTATGTAATTACGTGAAGGTTGGTCACTGTTGCCCGTGGTGAGGAGGCCCGGATGCCGAGGGGTGGGAAAGTGCAGCTGGTGGTGAGGGTTCCAGTGCAGGAGAGCGGTTCCTCAGGCAGGAATGAATGTGAGGGCTCATAGTTGAAGTTAATCCCATTCGTTGCTTATCTCCGTGTAAAAATATAACTAAGACAAAAGTATTTTCATTCAGTTCAGCAAAACAAGTGCTATGCACACCCAGCATGCTAGTGTCTGGGATACAAAGATGAAGCAGACATTGTTTTAAGAGAAATAGCAGCCTCATACAGGGGATAAAATAACTGCAAAACAAAGCCGAACTGCCTGAGTGTGATGAGAACGATAAGAACAACACGTTCGGTCTAAAAGGAGGGAGAGGTTACATGCGCTTGGTGAGATCAGAAAAGCTCCTTGGAAAACACACCTTTGCAGGGTAAGTCAGGAATTTGTCAGGTTATTTGACGCATGGGGAAATGTTTCAATCTTTTCTTTATGGTGTTGCCCTCTGTATATAGTTTAATAAATCACTTTCTTGCTGCTCCTCCCCACCCTCCAAAAAAGAAAGTGGCCTTTGAGTGGCCCCTGACGGTAGAGACAAAAGCGTGAGGAGGAAACTCGGGGAGTGCGTGAACTGGGAGCCTCAGTTCCTAGAGGAAGGGGTTTCTTGATCTGGCGAGAAGCCAGGCATCGTGGAGGTGGTGCTGTGGGCCGTTCGGAACCTTTTCTTGTCCTCCGGGAAGGTCACTCAGGCAGACATGCATGGGCTAGAGAGCAGAGGATGGAGGGGTCTATTACAATCTCCGTGCCGCAGCCTGCGGTAAAGGCGATGGGAGTAGGAAGGAGGAAACAGGTGAGGGTCATAGCAGGGACAGGCACTGGACCAGAGCCACGAGGCGGGTCAGAGCCGAGGTTCTGGTCTGTGCGGAGATTTCCCGTCCGCCTGGTTGAGAGAGGAGCTAGTTCAGGCGTGTCAGAGTCGGGGAACAATGAGTGAGTTTGGGACCCACTTTTCAGTCGGCATAAGAACAACCCCCAAATTCCAATGGCTCAACACAGCAAAGGTTTACTTACCCTCCACTCTCGCTCCAACATGCGTGTATGGTCACCCAGGAATCCCAGCTGCCTCCGTAAGTACTAGGCGGAGGGACGGATGTGGCAATCGTGTCCTGGCCCTTAGAAGTTATCCCATAAGGGACACATGTCACTTAACGCTCATATTTCATTGGCCGAAGCAAGACATGTGGCCACACCTAGCTTCACGGAGAGCAGGGGCTGCAGCGCTCCCACGGGCTTGGGAGCAGGGGACTGGGCATTCCCATAGGCCTGGTGACTGCGCAGACACGTGGGATGTGAGGCATCCAGCAGGCAGACGGCAGGCCGGACAGACGAGAAGGCAGACCGCGGCCACGTTGGGCGTAGAAGTAACAACCAAGGCCGTGGGTCAGCGGAGACCACCCAGGAGGAAAATGCGGAGTGTTTCCAAGTTCACGCTGCAAGGGGCCGGGACGTGATGCGCTTTATCCTCATCGTCCAGCTGACGAGAGGCAGGCAGGAGCCAGGCCTCGCTACTCGACCGTGTTCTTTAGTTCATTTCTTCCTCAGGCCCAGGTTAGGTTCCCGGATAAGAAACGTTGTAAACCGTTCTGCGTTCTCACTGAAATGTCTTCTTTGACTTTTTCTTTCTTGTAGCTCAAAGGAAATGAGACTATGTCCTGGGGTTCATATTTTTCTCAGTCCTGGGACGCCTGGAGGAGCTGGTGTCTGAATTGTATGTGGGCGTTTGGTGGCCGTGTGGTGCGTACGACGTGTGCAGGGCTGGAACCAGGGAATGAGCAGACTCTGCCCCGGCCTAGCAGTGTGAGGGAGTGGCCGGACGGATAAGCGTGAGGTTTGGCAGCAGGCACGTGGACATGGAATGTGGAGGGGCTGGTGCACACCAGAGGCCTGGGACCTCTGACCAGAGACAGGCCCAGTCCCTGTGGATGACAGCCCCCTGCGCCTGCAGGTCACACAGGACGTGCTCAGAGGGGACAGGGCAGGATCCGGGCCTGGGACTGAGACTGGTAGAGACGAGAGGGTGTGTGCAGATCTGAGGCCCCTCCCTGTCATGACACAAGCACCCCTCCCCCCCTCACCTCTCCCCACCCAGCAAACCCAGCCAAACCGTGCTCTTACCTGAGACAGGCGGGATTCTGGGAGACTAAGTATGTAAGTCAGCAGAGGCTGAGAAACACAGCAACACAGCGGGGAAGGAATCTGCGAGGAGAATTAGATTTGACACAGAAAAAAAAAGAAGGCTGCACATCGGGGTTGTGGTGAGAACACATCTGTGCCCCGTTTCATTAGCTGAGAGCCAGGAGAAGCAGATTGCACAGGGCCAGCAGCGCCAGTTCGAGGAGTTTGGGCTGCATCTAGTGGGCAACAGGGAGCCATCCAATGCTTCCTGAGCAGGAAGTCGTGCGAACAGAGCGGTGCTTCAGGAAGATGAATTGGGGAGTGTCTGATAGGTTGGTTAGCAAACGTATAGTCAGCTCAGCAGTAAAAGAGGCTTTGTGTGTTTTTAAAAAACAACCCAAAGCTGGCTTATTGTATTAGTTTTGAACCGGCTTACATTTTGACCAAATTATTTTTTTAAAAGATGGTATGACTTTGTTTTTAATGGTTTTTTCAAGGTTAACACATATGGTCCTTAAATCACTGATTTTTTAAAAATCATTTGAACCCAGTGCTTCAGGGGGAGAAGGAAGACTTATTGATCACAGCAGAAGTGTTCGATTTCCCCGGAAGGACCTTCCCGTTGCCTCCACTCCCACTTGTTTTCTTCGGTCTCTGGAAGGTGCCTTTGACGTTCTGTTTCAATGGACAGTGTCGGACACTGTGAAACATGAAGCAGATAGCAGGGCAATCCTGCAGCAGAGAGTAATCGATATGCTATTTCCCTGCCCAGTTTCTGTAGAAAGATGTCGTCTTTCTTTTGTTGTAAACCACGGACAAAAGACACCTTAGGGCGTGTGCCCTTGCCCTCCGGGTTGGACTGGACCTGCGTTCCAAATCAGACAGTTCATGTCAAACCCACAGCTAATGCTTGCCCAGCGGTTACTGTGGGCCAAGACTGTCCTAAGCTTTCTGCACACAAACACGTATTGTTAGGCCTTGTGGCGGAAGAGGAGGCAGAGACTGAGTTCTCTGTCCCCGTCTTTGCCGCTCTCAAGTATTAGAGTGGGTGTTGGGGAGAGACCGTCCGGTTAGTTGAGGTGCACGTGCCCGAAACTCTGCTGCAGCCTGAACGCCTCTGCTGGTGCCTTTGAGGCTTATGGTCCATGAACACATTGTTTTGGAAACAACGGAGAAGAAAAGGATGGATGACTTGTTCCCCGGTCAGAGAAGCAGAGTCCCTTAGGTCCCCAGCCGACTCCAGCGGTTGCTTTCCGGTAACCTCGGTGTTGGCAGAACCAGAGCCCAGCAGGGCTTTTTCCCTCTCCAGGTGGCACAGGGCAGGTGGTGAGGACGGTTGCGGGTCTAAAGGTGTGGTGGCCTCAGAGTCACTGCCCCAAGGGTGGAACAGAGGGGCTGGGCATGAAAGGGGTACTTCAGCTCATGCCCCATCCCAGGAAGGTGCTGGAGGGGGAGCGGAGCCCTGTGCCCCGCCCCACCCCCCGAGCGTTGATTATGAAGTGGAGGGATTCCAGGAGCTCTTCAGGATAATGGGATTTGAAAGTGGCAGAATCACCGTTTTTGCATAATCTGAATGAAAAACAGAGCTGGAAGTATTATGATAAAACATTACTAAAGATATGCAACAGAGGGATTTTGAAGTTGTAACAGTAGTCATGTGACTGGGTGGGAACCGGTCACAATGGGGGTGTTCGTTGACTTGTGATTGGCTTCAAAATACGACCCATGCTGTTCACATGCTGTGAGTCCAGGGCCTTGCTCATTTTCTCTGCTTTATTCCCGGTGCCTGGAATGTGCCAGATACACAGGGAACACTTAATAAGTATTTGTTGAATGAATGAATGAATGAATGGATGGATGATTTGATCATTAGTTACTCCCTTAAAACCCCACAGCTGTACTATGTCAATCTATCCATCTACCCGTCTTTTTGACCTGGTAACACATCGTACTGAATATGAAACTTCTGGAGGGGTGATGACTTAGAAGTGATTTTTAAAATCACACATGGGATGATCAGCCTACTCACTGATATCAAAATGGTACATTGCAGACTGTTAACACACAGTAAAAAGGCAAACAACCACAACCACCTGGAACAGTTCTTTGCAGAGAAAAATGACAAGGAATTCCCACCATCTGTATTTTATAAGACGGAGCAAATCAGTAAATAAAACAGTAAGACATGAAGGAAATGTACCCAAAAAGGATAACCACATTTTCTGTAATGTGACTATTTTCCAGTTTTCCCATATTTTTCTGTAATATGTTTATCTCATTTTTATGACTTGGGGGGTAGGGGGGTTCTAAAAATGGAGCCGGAGCTGACCTGGTCCTGCTGCCCCCTCCCCCAGGCGGAGCAGCCCTGGACCTGAAGGCCTGCCCTCCCAAGCCCTTCCGCTGGATCCTTGACATGACCTGGCTGAACCTCGTGGAGCTGAGTAAGCTCCCGCAATTCGCAGAAATCATGAACCAGGTAATAAAGGGCGGGAAAGCGCAGATCTCTACACCCAAACACACCCAGGCCATTTGTTGTTGTCATTAACCCTCACCCACAGATATTTTTTCCATTGGTTGTTAGAGGGAGTGGAAGGGAGGGGTAGAGACAGAGAGAAACATCGATGTGAGAGAGACACATCGGCTGGCTGCCTCCCGTACTCACCTGAGCCAGGGATTGAGCCTGCAACCAGGGCACATACGTGCTCTTGACCGGAATCAAACCCGAGACTTGAAGTCCGAGGGCCAACGCTCTAACCATTGGGAAAACCGGCTAGGGCCACCCGGGCCATTTAAATTGGAGACCTCCTGGTGACAAGTCCTCACACAAAAGGGTCCGCACAGTGGCGTAGCTTTAAGGCTCCGTGGCTTGCCAGGGAGAGTATAGACAGAGGGGGTCGGGAGGTGGGGTTTCTCAGAAGGAACCTTTTGGAGGTGCAGGCAGCTGCCTTTTCCTTCTGTGCTGGGTGTGGGTCACTCACAGGTGCTTGAATCACTGTCAGAATCGGAACCAGCGGTGGATCCTTTTTGTAGAGTATTGATGCTGTTACATTTTTACTTCTGCCTCTGATTTTTTAAAAAAATCTTTATTGTTGAGAGTATTACAGATGTCTCCCTCTCCCCCCCCCCATTACCCGCTCCATCTGGTTCCCGCCCCCCTGGCCTTCACCACTCTATTGTCTGTGTCCACAGGTAATGCATACATGTTCTTTGGTTAGTCTCTTCCCACCCACCCCTCCCCTTCTCTCTGAGAATCGTCAGGCTGTTCCATGTTTCCACGCCTCTGGTTCTGTTTTATTCATCAGTTTATTTTGTTCATTAGATTCCTTGCTTGTTTATTTTGCTTTTTAGATTCAATTGTTGATAGATGCGTATTCATTGCATTGTTGATCCCGCTTTAGAGATGAGAGAACCGAGACTCAAAGAGGTTAAGGAGTCTCCATGTGGCCGATGAAGGGCGAAGCTGTCATTGGACCTCATGCTCTTTCCTGACAGCAGCGCTATTTCTCCGCAACCTTTTACACTGGAGCTGGGCCTGGTGTGAGGGGAAGGGCTGCTCTCAGGACAGTGCAGAAGCTCACGGGGCCCTGCCACCGGGCAGCCCGCGCTGGCCTGTCTGTGGGAAGGAAGGGGAGAGTCTCCCAGCTGAGTGGTGTCAGCGATTGAAACAAAAATAGCCTCGAACAGCAGCGGCCCCACCTTGGCTTCTCAGGCCAAACTGTTTAACAATTTGCTAGGAGAGAGGACCAGGAAAAGGAGTGGGGCACGGAGGTGGGCGACCAGGGGCTGGAAGTCAGCCCACTGCTCATGATAGGTGCAGCTCGCCTGGGAGCGCTACTGTGAAGAGTCAAAATCAGCAGCTGGAAGGTTGGGAATAAACACCCTCTTGTCTCCCTCTCTCTGGCCGCTAGTGTGGGGGAGGCCTGCAGGGGGCGCTGTGAGTGGCAGTGCGCTGGGGTCAGGGCAGTAGGGCGGGCCGGGCCCCAGCAGCGTCCAGGCCTGCTGGCCGTGTGCCAAGCTGATTCTGTGAGAGCAGCCAGCTGCGGGGAGCCCGGAGAAAGACGGCAGCTGTGAAACATTTCAGAAATCCTCCTCCACCTTTCAGTGTCCCAGGGACAAAGTTGGAGCAACTGGGTTCATTATTTTGCTATTAAACTGTGGGCTTTGGGTAACTATTCCTCTCGATGCCTCTGGAGAAAGCGGGGAGAATAGAGGAGAAAGGACCAGGCTCGGGGGTGGCACGCAGCCTCTGCTCTGTGCTGATTTGCTGTTTGCTGTTAGCACTGACCTGACCGTTGCTCTTTAAACGCGCTTGCAAACACGGCCTAAGCAACCAGGCCGCCTGCGGATGCCAGGCTCGCCGTCACGCAGCGTCTGTCCCTGGTTTTCACGGGGCTGAACTTCACCGAGCACCGTGATGCCTCTAAAACCCCGCAGCTCTCCCCATGCGCTGCAGGAGCAGGTGCCCGGGACCAGCTCCTGGAGAGACCTCTTCCCTCCTCCCGTCTAACGCCTCAGGGCAGGGGTCACTAGGAACATGGAAGTTTTGACTGTGCCATCTATCAGTATGTTACGTAGAGGTCACCATTTGGAGGTTTGCTTATCAGAATGGTCTCTATCAGTGGTTCTCAACTCAGGGCAACTCTGTGCCCACTCCTCTCCCCACTCCCAGCCCCTACCCCCAACCTCCCACAGGGAGCTTTTATAATGTCTAGAGATTTTTGATTGTCCCGAATTGGGGGAGGGGTGTTACTGGTTTTTAGTGGGTGGAGGTGAGGAATACCGCCAAACATCCCACAGTGCACAGGACAGCGCCCTGCACAAAAAATAACTGGCCCCAAATGTCAGTAGGTCCAGAAACCCTGGTCTGTGATTTTTTCCTGCCCAGTCATTTAGTGTAATTGATTCATGGTCCTAATCGTAGTGAAAGTGGAGAAAAGCAGTGGGAAAACTGAAAGAGAATAGTAATCTCCACATGGTTTGAGTCATTGTGAAGAAAAATGTAGATGCGTGGTTATATTTGAAAAAGGACGTGCCTATCGAGAATGACCCTCTGGGTTATCCGGCGTCCTCCCCAATATATTATTTCAACTCCGTGTACTCCCGTGGCTGGCTAATTGGCTTGTTTACTTCAGATATCTCGTAATGAGAAGGGATGGAAAAGCTGGTTTGACAAAGATGCTCCAGAGGAAGAAATCATCCCTGATGGATATAACGATTCGCTGGATACCTGCCACAAACTCTTACTTATCAGGTGAGAAGAGGTAGCTCAGAGCTGGAGGCATCATATTGTCAAATTACGGAACTCACCTCGGGGAGTTTACTTCGCTGTGTCCCCGTAGTTATTATAAGCAACGTAGGTGCTTTCACACTGCAGTTTGGGCTGGCAACTCTTTAGTTCCTTGACAAGCAAATAGAATGATGGTGGTGGCAGGGAATGGTATGTTTTGACAACGTATTGATGATAGTGCTTTTAGCCAAAAGACATGAAAAATATGCTTTATTATTCCCTTTATTCATTATTTATTGTTGAATTTACTTCTTTAATAAATATAACTCACAAAGTTATAAAGCAATTAGTTTATAAGCTGAAATCCAATTTCATCTGAGAAAAAACCCCCATAAATATTACGCTATTGAAATGTGTAATGCAGGCTTGACTATTAAAATAGAAGCAAAAGTTTTAAATTGATGTTAAGGAAGAACATTCTTTTTTTTTTCTTTTCCTTCCCACTTTTCATATTTTCTTAATATCTAGTAGCTTAAAGAAGGCTTCTATATTAGAGTGTGAGTGTGTGTGTGTGGGAGAGAGAGAGAGAGAGAGAGAGAGAGAGAGAGAGAGATATTAGATTGGTGGGCAAGGTTGGCATTGGGGGCAGATGAAACCATCAAAAGATTAACAAAAAGATGTTGGGTAATTTTGAAGTAGTTTTTACCTTTCCCAATGTTATAGCCCTACCTGAGCTTGATTTCTTACAAAAAGTTATTTCCTGGATGTTGTCACTCTCTGCGAGTGATCACAGCAATGGTGACCTCATGACCTACAGAGGCTGAAAGAGCTACTAGGTCTTATTGGAATAGATGTGTCTATCTTTTATCCATTATTCTAAAACTGAATCTTTGCCTAATGAATACTATAATCTGTAGAAGTTGTGATTTAAAATATCAAATATCAAATGACGTTATTTAATGTGTCATTGTGTTTAGAACCTACTTCAACGTAGGCAACACAGATGGCATTAAATTAGTGCCTGCTGGTCAACCTACTTCTGACACTTAAACACGTTCTTCCCCCCCTGACGCCTGCAGAGCTCCCTGTGTGCGCAGGCCCACCCTCCTGCTTCCCTGCTGAGCGGCCTGGTGTGCAGCAGGCGCTTGATGACTGTCCTGCCAGAGATGAACGTGCTCCTGTGTGTTAGTTTGGATGATGAATTGCTTACCTGAAGCGATAGCCCCAGTTACCAGGGATCATCATTTGCTGCGCTTTTAAAAATAGCCAATTAAAATTTCAGAATATGCCTGGCACCGAAACCACACGATCAAATATGCACTCACCCCGGGTAGAAGACCTTGCCCTTGCTCAGACCCGCACAATGGAGAGTTAGCTCTTTGTCCTTTGCTAATTAAATATGTTCTTTACGTGCCTAGAATGAGATAGGATAAGAAATGAAGAGACTACGTTATTTTCCTCTCACTCGTGTCCATTTCTAGGTCTTGGTGCCCAGATCGCACTGTTTTTCAAGCAAGAAAGTATATTGCAAGTTCCCTGGAGGAGAAGTACACAGAACCAGTTATCTTAAACCTGGAGAAAACTTGGGAAGAAAGTGATACACGGACACCTCTGATATGTTTCCTGTCCATGGGGTCCGACCCCACCATTCAAATCGACGCCCTGGCCAAGAAGCTGAAGCTGGGTATGAGCAGCAGACTATGACATTTAGCAAACCCCACACATTTTTGCCTCAAATTTTGCCTTTCATAACTTTACAACTGATAGGAATATCTCCATAAAATTGAGTTAGAAAAAAGTACTAAACTCTTTCCTCTCTCTTCAGACCTCCTGGAGTGAGGTTGGGAGAGAGATATCTTTGTGCAGAGAGGAACAGACTTATCTACCATATTCTGTTGTTTTTTTAAAGTTGTAAGCAGATGGCCATGCTACATGGACAGTAGATTAGCAAGAATGAACTTACAAGTGCAGATTTTATTGCCATCTATAATAATAAAAGCCTAATATGCTAATTAGACCAGACATCCTTCCAGATGACCTTCCGGATGAAGCCAGGGCTACAAGGGAAGCCCGGATCCCAGGTGCCTGCCGGCGACTGGAGGGAAGCCAGAGGGAAGCCAGTGCCGGCAGCCTGGGGGAAGGAAGGCCTACTCTTGCACGAATTTCATGCATCAGGCCTCTAATGTCTACATAAAATTACAACAAAGTCTGTTTTGTCACAAATTTAAAAGAACTAGAACCATTGTAATGCAGTAATTGGGGATTCATTTATCCATGATTTCATTCAGAAACCATTTAGTTCAGTCAGGGTGATGGATTCAGGGAGTACAGAGATGAGCACAACACAGCTGGGGAAGGCAGACATGCCAACACTTAACCGAAGACCACGTGACGGCGATTGTAACAAAGTTTCGTACAATCATTTTTAGGAATATTAGAAAGTCACATGCTACTTACTGCTTTGGGTCAAAAATAGCTGTGAAAATAGAACTATTATGTAAATAGAGTAACATTTAATCTAGTCTTAAGTAGAATATTTCATTTGGGTAACTGGGTAACAGATCATCATAGAATGCTCAAGGTAAATTCGACTCTGGAAACCTTGAAATCCAACTCCCTTGTTGTACAGGTCGGGGAACTAAGGTCTGGGGCTAAGGCCAGAGAGCTCGCCGGTGACAGATTGATTCAGGGCTCACTGGGAAACCCCATTCAGTGGCCTCTCTCTTCCATCCTCTCTCACTGCCATATTGGCTGCATTAACCCTTTACCTGACAGCAACTCGAGGGATGGGACCAAATCAAACAAGTTTTTGTAGGAAAAAAGGAGAAAGAAAACGCACTATGGATGCTGCCTGGTGCCTGCCACGCTCTGCAGTGAGAGGTGTGAAGCGGATGGATTCTGCACAGAAGCACTGGTGCCCGCGCCGCGGGTAGGAAACACGTGGATTCAGCATGAGAACTCGACTCGGACGGGGTGAGGGAGAGGGTCCCAGAGGAAGGGCAGGGTTAGAAATAGGACCCAAGCACAGATAAAGAGAGCAAACAAATGAAATGCAGACTCACAAATACACAAAAGAATTAATGAAAATGGGTATAGCAACGTATACAGATTTTAAAAATAACAAGAAAGATACATAATTATGGCAACAAACTTTAAAATCTCATTAAAATTGGCAAATTTGTAGAAAATACAAATGTACAAAATTTTCTCAGAAAGGGTAGAAAAACCTGAATAGATTTAATCATGGAGATGAGCAAAATTAGAAGTTTTGAAATGATTATCTCAACAAAAGCTGTGGGTTTGGGTGATCTTTTTGATAAGTCCTTTACAACGTTAACATGCTGTATTCCATTCCAGAGGGGAGGAAAAGAGGATGCATTTTCCTCTTTACTTCAGGGAACAGCATTATCCTGATATCAAAAACAGACCACGATAGTAACTGCATAAAAGAAATAAGACCACAGATTGATGAACTTATAGCTGTAAATATAAGGATCGTAACTAAAATGCAAGCAAGGAAAGTTCAATGTGATATTATAAGAAATAACTTGCAAAAAATAATAATAATGTGCCCTGACCGAGTAGGAATGCATAGTTGAAATAAAAAAGATAAAATAAAAAAATCTTACCAGAACAATAAGTGAAAGACTTTCCCTTAAGCTATCATATTATTGCCTTGGTAGAGGCTAAAAAAAGCATTTTATAAAAAATTTAATATTTGTTTTTCGCTGTTAAAAAGTAGAAATAGAGGAGTATTTTGTTAATGTGATAATGAACTTCAAACATCAACATCATACTTGTTGATGAACGACCAGAGACATGCCCATTAAAGTCAAGAAGAAGATGAAGATGTCTGCCCTCACCACTATTATTCAGCACTGTTGTGGGAGATACAGCTAATGTATTGTAAGAATAATAAATAAAAGATATAATTTCTGGACAGTAGGGGCAAAAATCACCATTACTCTCAGCCAGTGTAATTGTCTAACTAAAAAAACAAATGAATCAGCTGAAAAACTATCAGACTTAACAGGATAGTTCAGTAAGGTGGCTGATCACAAAATAAATATATTAAAAAATCAATGGAGCGTCTTGTAAAATAAAGTGTAAAAGTCCCATTCACTATAGCAATAAAAGTAAAACTGAGAAATAATTTTTAAAATACCCATTAAAAGAAAACTATAAAACTTGCTTAGAGACATAAAAGTAGGATAAAATAAGGGACAGTTAAACCACATTCCCAGTATAAAGATTCAATATTGTAAAGATGTCAATAGTCTCCAGATTAATCTATAAATTGAATGCAAGTGTAATTGAAATTCCAGCAGTTATTTTTTTCTGATGGGATAGGAGAGGGATCTTAGGTCATCTAGAACAATAAATGGACAAAAATAACCAAGAAAGCTTGAAAAGGAAAAAGAATAACGGGGAATGAATACCACGGGATTTTAAAAACTTCATCAAATTGAGATAATTTAATGAGTGTGAAGATGGCTCAAAATAGGTAAACAGATCAACAGAGCAAAATACAAGGCCCCAAATTAGACTCTAGTATATATAGTAGCTTAGTCTATGATGAGATTCACCTTTCAAGTCAGTGGAGGAAAATGAATTACATAAACAGTGTTGGGGTAGCAGGCTACCTTCAGAAAAAAGAATTTCACCTTCACATTAAACCCCAAAGTAAGTTGTGCAGTGATTAGGTGTTTAAATGTTTTAAATCAAGCTGTAAAAGAATAAAAGGGATGCACTGAATACTTACGTAGTATTGCGGTGGCTGTGGTTTCCTTGATCATAATACCAGAGTCCCAACCCAGGGGACGAGATGGATCATCTGCACAAAGTTTTAAAACTTCTGTACGTCTGCAGCACCATGAGTTACAGCGCAGCCGCGGGTCGGAGTGCGGGTCAGGAAGTACACATTCCACTTCAGCTGGGACCATGGCCGTCCTTCTCTGTATACTAATATGGCACCAGTCCTCCTCAGGATGGATGCATGCTTTGTCCCAAGTTCTATGTGTAAGAACTTTTCCTAAGAACCTACTGAGAGATACACACCAAGATTTATATGCAAGGATGCTTAATCTAGTTATAATACTGGAAAATTGGAAATGTCCTAAAATGCAAAAGGGTCATGGCTGAATGACCAGCAGAGTGTTGCCATGAAAAACTGCTTTCCAATGATATTTAATGGCAGTAAAATGCTCACAACATACTGTTAAGAAGTAGAGACATAAAGTAACGTGTATGTTATTTCATATGTACATATAGTATGTAATGCATATGTATATATGTAACACACATGCATATAAGACATATATAAAATTTTTAATATAGATAGGTGTACAATTCCTTATTCAAAACCCTTGGGGCCAGATGTGTTTCAGAAATCAGAATTTTCCAGCTTTTAAACAGGTAGTATTCCATATATTATATAATACACTGCAGGTAAGAGTATTAATATTAATAAAGATAGTGATAATAAAGGCTATAAATAGATTCATATCCATTCAGGTCAGCTTTTGCCACTAAACTAATTTTATGGCAAAACTTCCAGTTTTTAGAGTGTTTTGAATTTTGAAATGAGCATAAGGGATTGTGGATTGTGCATATTAAAAAAGATTAGAATGAAGGTTTCTAGCGAAGGATATTGGTGATTTTTATTTTTTCTTTATGCTCTCCTACATTTTCCAAGGCTCTCACTATGAACATATATTACTTAATAAAAAAATAAAATATTTGTTTTTAAAAGGAAGAGGAAAAGTGAAGGAGACACAAGCCTAATTTGGGAAGGAAATGCAGTTGAAATCTTACTAAAGTCTCTCAAATAGAAACAACTAAAAAATAAAAAATGAGACCAAACCCGAGACCACCGAAGAGTAATTATGCTGCGTTGCTGACAGCAGCATCTCCCACAGGACGCTCAGCAGCCGTCCTCCCCAGAACCCCCCTCACGGTGCCAATCTTGTTGATCTTTTCAAAGAAGATCCTGTGCTTTTCATTTGCTGATTCTCTGTTGTTTTTCTAGTGAGCGCTGGGGCAGGAGCGGGTGATGGGGAGAGACTGTTTGGGGCTTCTTTTGGGGCTGATGAAAATGTTCTGAGATTAGAGTATAGTGATGGTTCTACAACTTTATGAATACACTAAAAACATAATTCAGATTGTATACGTTAACCTGATATGTGGATTATGTATCACTTTTAAAAGCGTAAGCAGACAGTTATTGAGCATCTCAGTAGTTATTGAGCTATTGCCTAGTGCTGGGTAAGGCACCAGAGCTAAGTCCCTTCTCCCGCGGAGTTGACATTCTAGTGTGGGGCAAAGCAGACAATGATTGATAAGCAAGTGAGTACGTAATAAGCTAAAAAGAAGCAGGGTGAGGGGCAGAGTGAGGGGGTGGCTGTATCATCAGGGAAGGCCTGGTAGGGAGGGCGAGGAAGACTGAGATGTGGAGGGAAGTCAGTGCCCCTGACAGGGAAACACATTCCGGCAGAGGGAACAGCAGTGAGGCTGCAGTATGTGTAGAGGCCAGTGCGGCTGTGGAAAAGTGAATGAATGAGGGGGACAGTGATGGGATAAGAAAAGGGGTGTGTGTGTGTGTGTGTGTGTGTGTGTGTGTGTGCGCGCGCAGAGTGGGGGCTGATTGTGTAGGGCCTTGGAGGCTGTGGGTAAGGACTTTGGATTGGGTTTTGGGGTTTGCTGTGGATGAAATGGGAAGCCATCAGAGGGTTCTGAGCAGAGGATGGACATAATCCGGAGTTCGGGGCTGGACAGAATCCCTCCATCTGCCGTGGGAAGAGAAGATAGTAGGGGGCAGGAGTGGGAGTGAGGCCCCCAGTTAGGAGAATCCGGGCAAGAGGGGATGGTCACTTAGACCGGGGGTAGGGGGGGAGAGAAGTGGAGATGTTGGGAAGCGGTCAGATCCTGCCTCCAAGTCTCCTCCCGACCTGTTACCTGGGTCACTGTGAGAAACCGAGGCCCCCCGAGTGTCTTACAGGGACCCGAACCAGTTCTTTTTAGAGGGTGCATTTCGGAAGAGTTGGGAGGAGAGGAGATGGACTGTGGCTCACACGCACATGTTAGTATGTTTGTCCACATCGGCCTTCCCCCGCTGACCCGTTGAGCATTTGTGTGTTGCTTCCCGCGTAAGAGGTATTCAGGGTGTCTCTGTGCCATCCAGAGCCTCCTCCCATTCAAGCCCCACTCCCCTTTCCTCTCCTTCTGTAGGTGTGTGCGTTCTTCTCCATGCCCCTGGGCCTGGTTCCTCTTGAGCAGGAGAGATTATGGGGCCTTTTCAGGGGCAGGGGCAGGGGCGGGGGTCCAGTTGTTCAGTAACCCCTGGCCTGTAGCTATTCCTCATCCATCCTCTCTCAGGCACCCATCCCAGTGTCTCCCTGTGGCCCCGAGTCCACAAATAACCCCAATGCTGCACCCTCCAAACCCTAATGGAATCTCTGGCCATTAACCACACGGTGCCATTTAAATGGTGTACCCTGGACACGCCTTCCCAGTCCCCTCCCCACCCCGGGAGCCTCCCCAGTCCCTGTAGCCTCTCGGAGCAGTTCCCGGACCAGCCGTGTTGCTTGCCCGGCCACGGCAGCCCATGTGTCTGAGGATTCGGGCCCATCCAGCAGAGCAGGGCCCAGGCATGCGCGGCTTCACCAAGTCTCCACCGACCTTTCCCGGCGTCAGGATCACGCCTCCCAAACTCAAGAACATCCGGCTCCACGAAGGCGTGCTTAAACGTTCATTTCCAATCCGAGTTTCACAGGCAAGATCCGCAGGCTTCTTCAGTGTAGTGAATTCCAATGGCAGGACACGAATGTGGCTCTCCGCCCGGGACGTCGGGTTTCCTTACGAAAGGAGCGTATTCTCCCTGGATCAGAACCACACTCCGGATCCCGAGCGTCTCCACCTGCTCTTCGCGCTCACTGCCAAGGTGGCCATTTAATCCGAGGAGCCGCTACCCCTGCACGCAGCCCTCAGAGGGCCGGGCCACCTCAAGTTCCATCTCAGCAACGGACAAACATGCAAACGCAGACAAAACAGACAGAAAACGCTACAAGCCTGGCGTCCTGAAAGAGTGGGAACCCCATTCAGTCTCCCCCGAGCATCTGTAAAACACCAAGGGAGGCTTCTCATCAAAACAGAGCCCTTGGAACCCCTCCTTCCCTCTGAGTGATACTGCAGCCACCTCTCCCACATCAGCCTTCCTGCTCCTGTCTCCACAGACCCCAGACACTGGGAGCCCAAGCTGGGCCTGTTGTCTCTCCCGGTGGTTCCTGCACTTTCTGCTCCACTGATGCCTCTCCTCAGTGCAATGCGAGGCCAGGCCTGTTTGAATAACAATGGTTCCTTGGAGGGAGGCTATGACCATTCAGAAATCAATTTTTTGTCCCAACCCCGTTATAAAATGTATGTTTTAACGTGGGGAACCTTCTGCTGTGTTACAGAATGCAGAACCATCTCCATGGGGCAAGGCCAAGAAGTGCACGCGCGGAAGCTGATTCAGATGTCCATGCAGCAGGTACGTGGCGGGGGCAAGCGCTTCTAAGGCAACATTCTCGCCGATGTCCTCTGGCCGTCGGCCGGCCCAGAACCACCGCCGGGCCGGGGAAGCAGGCGCCTGAGGCCCAGTCGCCCTTCCCACTTTGTTTATGTGTATAATATAGTCAACCTTTGATTGCCTGTGAATCTTCAACCTCGAGCGAGTTTGCTTCTGACATCCCCACAAAAAGCTTGTCTCATTTTCCATAGTGTATGCTCCGTTCTACTTTCACTAATTCTTTTTGGACAATTTGGCATAACCACTTTCGGGTCCCTACGGGTATACTAGTAGCTCCTAACCGTCTTACAATTTCATGATCAGTATGAATAGGAAGTGACAGATTGAGACAGTTAAATTTCAATTTTTGGTTAAAATTAGTCTTTCATTTTTCATTAATGGGTAGTTTCAGCCAAATAAATATTTGAGGATGTTTTAGTTTAAATATTGATGACGGTTGTTATTGAAAATCGCAAGCTGGATGGAATGTTGAGGAATGTTTTCTGTCACACCTAATAAATTCACAGGACATTAATTTTCTAGATATGCTTGGGAGATAGCAATTTCAGCCGTAATAAGAAATTGCACCATTTATGAAAATAAAATAAGATCTTGGTTTATTTTTAAGCTTTTTTTTTTACCTCATAATGTTCGTAGCAACTTTGGTGCCGTTTTTCCTGGGAATTAATGACTAGAGAATGCTAATGAGCTAAAACCCTGCCTGGGTCATCAAATTTTCAACCTGGCCATTAATTCCCAAGTGCTCTAAGCCTTAATTTTTATCACCTAATCAAATTCAATAATATATTGTATTTAATTTCTATTCAAAGCAATTACATATAATAATTTTTATTCAGACTAAATGATCCACTCTATTGAGTGAGTTGACAGTTGAACTTTGGGTCTTAAATAATTACTTGAGTTTCCACGAGTGAGAAGTTTTGTGGAGACCTCATTCACATTAACCTTCTTTGGAATACTGGCTTTCATAACGTTTATGTTCTCTCTCTCCATGTGGGAGCAGTACTGACAATCCTGGCATCATTGGGGGAAAACACACACATGGCCAGGGGTAGCCACACAGCCACTGGAGCAGGACACTGGTTTGGGATAAAGCTGACACTGTGGAACGAGGAGTACCTGGGTCCATGACGGCACAAACGAACTGAAGCCCGCCTTCCCAGACTCCCCTGTGGTCGAGACCAGCACGTCGTCCTTGCCGTTTAAGCCAGCAGGCGTCATATATTCTTACGTTAGAAAGCATAACACACAAACTTTATCATAAACTGACTGTGCTCAATATTTTGTAGCCGATTTTAATCTGATCCCATCATATAAGGGTAGCAAAATGTCTGGTTAATAAACTTTTTTTCCCTCACACAGCAGTGATGGTTGTGTGACTTATGTGTTAAAGCTAGTCTTATCCAGCCTTTATATAATAAGAGGGAGGGAAGGTCTGGCCCAAGGACCGTGGAAGGCCTACAGAATCACCTGGTCTGGGCCTGCCCAGGCATTAGGGGTGAGTTAATTAAATGTTTGACCAGATAGAGCAGGCTAACTTCTAAGCTGATGATTTCGTATGGCCCTCGAATGATGTTATAAACATCCCAATGGCCCTGGGCAGAACCAAGGTTCCCCACCCCTGATTTAGAGCGTGCTCAATGCATGCGGTGCTTTCAGGAATTATGGGAAGCGTGATGACAAAGAATGAGGCTTCGTATTTATGGTAGCAAATGCCACCGAATGTACTGTCTCCAGTTTTCATGAGGGAATGTGTACCTCTGTTTGTAACTAGAGTTTGGGGGCGAGTCAATTCTGATTGACTGTAGGCAGAACAATTTAAGGTACAGATTCCGAAATCCCCATTCCCGCCATTAGATGGCGCACACACTATACTTACAGAAGTCTGACTGCAAGTTTTCATTCCTGTTCCCTCCTGAGCCAGGGGTGGCAGAATACAGTCGCTGCGAGCCCGCTCGATTCCAAGTCAACAGCTTTATCAGGGGCAGAAGAAATGATTGCATTGACGTATAATAATTTTACGAAAAACATAGGTTCAAAACAGAATATTCACGTTCCCTAAGCAAAGGTTTGAAAAGGATTTGTCCATTTTGTTTTTATTAACATCATAGCCAAAAAGTTATAAGAAATTAATATGAAATCACTTCGGAATGCAGGGGGGCTGGGTATTGCTGCAAAACTGTCACCTCGGCCTGGAATTCATGGAGGAGCTGCTGGAGACCATCATGAACACCGAAGCCAGCGATGAGTCCTTCCGCGTGTGGATAACCACCGAGCCCCACGACCGATTTCCGATCACCTTGCTCCAGGTTGGTTTCTAGGCGATAAGTGTCTTTCCCCTGAGAGTTACACAAATAAAGGCAGCATCATGGAGACCCAGCAGGGCTTTCCGGGGCAGTGGAGGCGGCCCTGCAAAACCTCCCCCTGTAATCACCGAGGTTATACAAGCCTTTCCACAGAGGAGTTCTGAGACCTGGGCTGACTTACTGGGTTTCGGCTCTGATCCATGTCCCATTTTTTTGTACCACAAGCATATTGCCGTCTGACGTATTGTGATTTCTGCTTTATCCTTTGCAATCATTTACAGAAACAAAATTACCCTTTACTTTTCGCGACAGACTTCTCTCAAATTCACGAACGAGCCGCCCCAAGGGGTCCGCGCAGGCTTGAAGAGGACATTCGCCGGAATTAACCAAGACCTCCTGGACATCAGTAACTTGCCCATGTGGAAGCCGATGCTCTACACAGTGGCGTTCTTACACTCCACCGTGCAGGTACCGTCTGCAGCAGCGGGCATCTTCGGGGGTGCTGATGGTCTCACGGGTCCTCCTCGGAGAGCCCCTCTGTGAGGGCGCGCTCCGCACTGCCTGGCCCCTCCCCCTGCTTTTCTCCCTTCCGGGCACTTCTCCCCACCTGCCAAGTGTATATTTGTCTGTCTGTTCACCGTCTTCTCCACCCCTCCCCCCTCCCCCCCTGGTGGGCAGGGTGTCAGCCCGGTGACTGCTGAGCGTCCCTGGCACACAGCGGGGGCATTGCTCAATAATGTCTGTGTGATGAGCAAACGGATCAGTTAGGCGAGAGCTTGGTTTCCAACGTGGCTGTGGCGGCCGGGAATGTTCTGTGCACCGTCTCCGTAACACTAACAACCACACTTCAAGGCAGGCTAATGCCATTTTTAAAGGAGGAAATGGAGACTCGCAGAGGTTAAGTCCACTTGGAGGCGGTTGACGCAGGAGCCGAGCCCTACACTGGCCGCCTGGGTGCAGGGGCTGACCCTGCTCCCGCTGGTGAGAGCGGTGGCTGTCGTCAGGAGTCACGGTGGTTATCTCTCTTCCAGGCTCTTTGCTATTTGGCTTTTACCGTTTACTTACACAGCAATTTAATAATTTTGCGGCTGCCCAGCAACTTGTCTGTGGATGGTTGCATTCCGGTACTGCTTTGTTCTGCATTTGAGTTTTGGGTGTCGTTCATATTTGAAAGTCATCCTGGGTTCACTCCTTCACTTGACAGGGAGAGGAAGAGGCTTCCTTCCCCCCTCGCTGCACCCTCCCTTCCCAGAGGCTTGAACCCAGAGCCAGGCTTCAGCTGCTGTGCAGAGCCCTCCGCTCCCCGCCCCGCCCAAACCTGGAGGGGGATTGAGTGTCACCCCAGAACACGCTGGGGTGTTGGCCCTCAGGCTCGCTGTCCCTGCCGTTTTTTTTTGCAGGGCTCCGCACTGCCCAACGGAGAGGGTGGGTGTTTATCTGTCCCCGGGAGAGTTAACATCAGGTAAAGCCCTGTGGTTACCTCCCGCCGGGCCCACGGTGGTCTTTGGTTGTAAATCACTCTGAAGCCTGTTTCACGCGTTCCTATCTGGGGATCGTTCGCTTCGCCAGACCTTATCACACACTAATACAAATATTGCTTTAACTCTGCTATTTAATTCCCAATTCACAAATAATATATTTTATGATTCGGCTCCTGGCGGTGATGATTCAGCTCTCCCACCGTGCTTATCAGGGAGCGAGGACTGGGATATTTTCCATATGGTCAGTGCGGCAGCCTGTGTTGCTAGTGGCCATGATCCAAGGGCTAAACGGGAGAACACAGCACTGTGGTCCAGTCGTGGGGCTGAAGTGCGCTTGCGCTGAACAGGACTTGTATTTAGGTCAAAACAGAAAAAAAAAATCGTCATTGCTAGGGCCATGAAGCTAACAGTGGCGTGTGTATGAAAAGAAGGTTGATCACCTCTTACCATCCCATCCTAGCAGGCTAGACTAGAGCCAGAGCCCTCGCCGTGTCAGGCAGCCTGGACTTCAGTGCTCGCTGCGAAATCAGTGAGCTGTGTGAGCGGAGTGGGTCAAGCTGGGCCCCTCTCGGAGTCTCCGTGTCCCCATCTGGGCATTGAGAGGCCGAAGGGGCTCATCTTTCACGATTTCCCCCATTTCTAAAATTCTGCTACTAGTTCTATGACTGTACGGGGAGTGTAGATAATTCAAGCACAGTTTCCTCTGTTCTTTTTTTATTTTTTCATTTCAGAATTGTTTACTGTGATGTTACCTAAATATTTCCTTTTACTTGGTTAGGAGAGACTAGTTTGACAGAAAAACCCAGGGTTCTTTAGGGGCTTGTGGAGCTGGGCCAGCAGCACCGCACCACCTGGTGGTTCGTAAGAGATGAATCTCAGGCCCCGCCTCAGACCTCCTGGAGCAGAGTCTGCCTGTAACAGCTGCCAAGTGATGCGTGTGAACATTAGAGCCTGGGATGTAACTGATGTAGGAAAGTCTGTCTGAATTGGACGGATCGTGGCTCATATTTTTCTAGCGTTGGACATAATAGCCAAAAACCTGATTTGTTCATCGATTTATTCCTCCGAGTGAATCCAGATATCCGTTGCTTTATGCAAGCATGATGTATATACTTGTGTCCCTGCAGAGATTGAAAAAAGAGCAGGGAATTGGTTCATGTCACAGAATGTGAGGCTTCCGAGCTGGGGAGAGGTGCGTGCTGGGCTCCACCTTATAGCGGAACGCAGAACCTCGGCGTGCCCCCACCGCCCTCCATGTGGTTTCTCCTACTGAGTCGTGGTTTGGCATCGAGCCAGCCACTCCCCCCAGCTCTGGGTGTGATACGTGGACCCGGTTCCTGTTGCAGAGGACGCAGTGAGCACCCTCCTCTCCTGTCAGAAGGGGAAGTGGATTTGGCTGGTCAGCTTTCTTGGGCAGAAGAGTGGTGGAGGGTGTGGCTTGTTTTGTCACTGAGGTGGGAGCAAGCTTACCCCGGAGGACAGGGCCCTGGGTGCCTCCACGGGAACACGCAGAGAGGCCCAAGCCAGATCTGCACTCAGCCCTGCTCCTCCAAACTCTCCCCGCTGCCTCCCAGGTTCCCTTCCTCCTCCTCCAAGAGCTTCCTACCTCCACATCGGCCAGGAAGTCACTGCAGCAGCAGCTCTGGCTCTCATGGCAGCCGGGTGAGGCCTCGCCTCTGCAGCCAGCCCTCCTACCCTCCCCAGGAGCCGTTCATTCCCAGCGGCCTGGTGCACGCCTTGGCTCATTTGGCCACTGCCCCCGAGAACACTTCGCATCCTCTTCTGCTGGCCTCAGTATGATCCCTCTGTGGTTTCCCAGAAACTCCATCATTGCACCCTGCTGGCATTCAGAGCAAGCCCACATTCACCGCTCAGGATCTGCATTTTAAATATATTTTCCTCCGAAGTCTCGGTCTTTGAAACTCAACAATTACATTTGTAGTCTCCTTGCAACATGTAGTCTCCTTCTGTCCTGCAGAAGATCAGCATCACATTGTCTGTTTTTTCCCTATTGATGCCAATGTGACACCCTTCATTTGCCCAGCACATTGGACCCTGGAATACTTCAAGCAAAGGTTCTCAGCCATTGCCTGGGCCCAGAGCCCCTGGGAGGAGGTGGCGGGGGTGGGGTGGGCAATCTTTTAAACACTCCCCAATTGGTTCTAATATGCACCGGGGATTGAGAATAACTGCCAAACAGCCACTGCTCTTACGGAAGGAGTCTTCAGTCATTTTTATGTCCTTTTCATGGCTTGGAATTTTTATCATGGCTCTTAAAAGTAATTTAACTATTAAATAAAAATGGCCAGCCCTAGCCAGTTTGGCTCAGTGGATAGAGCGTTGGCCCTGAGACTGAAGGGCCCTGGGTTCAATTCCGGGCACCTACCTCGGTTGCAGGCTCAATCCCAGACCCAGTTATGGGAGGCAACCGATCATGTGTGTCTCTGACATCGATGTTTCTCTCTCTCTCTCTGTCTCCCCCCTCCCTTCCACTGTCTCTAAAAATCAGTGGAAAAAATATCCTCAGTGAGCCCTAACAAAATAAATAAACAAGTAGATAGAAAGATAGATGAAAATGAACTTGAGTTATAAAAAAATCTGAAAAATAAAATAAAAATGGCCATATCAGCAAGGCCCAGGGGGTTCCCCTGTTAGCAGTTCCTCATTCAGAAAAACGTTCCCTTCGTCTACATTTTTCTTCCTAAAGTTCGAGCCTTGACAGACACTCCCTTCAAAAGTAATAGTCACTGTACAGGTCCTAGTTTAAATTTCCTCACCGCGATTTCAATAATAGGATACAGATTTTTAAAAAGATCTTTTAGCCCGGCGGGTGTGGCTCAGTTGGTTGAGTGTCATCCTATGCATCAGGAGGTCTCCAGTTCGATTCCTGGTCAGGGCACATGCCTGGGTTGTGGGCTTGATCCCCAGTAGGGAGTGTGCAGGAGGTAACTGATCCATGTTTCTATCTTTATCTCCCTCTCCCTTCCTCTCTTTGAAATAAATAAAAACATATTTAAAAAAATAAGTAAATATAAATAAAAAGATCTTTTACATTTTCCCCTATAGAAGGTTATGGCAATTTCTGTTCCTTATTTTTACTATTAAATTTTCCCTTACATTGCCTAGTGTGGGTTGCATGTTTCATCTTATGCTACTTCCAGGTATGAAATAACGAGGGTGCGGTGCTCGAAGGAGAGCCTTGTTTTGAAGATGCGAGTGAAGGGATTCTGCATTGAGCTGTGGGAGATGGGATCACTGGGTTGAGGCAGAATCTAGCATAAAATTGGAAATAGTTTTGACATTATTAAAAGTATGACTCCGCTGAGCAATTCTACTTTCGTGGTCCAAGGAGGATTCCAAGTTTTCTCTACTAATTCTGTGTTTTGTATATTCTTTGGAATGAAAAGAGGGAACTGTGTTGGATAAATTTGGTGAGTAGACTAGTCTTCCTCAGTTTGCCACTCTCCAATGTAACAATGGAGGCTAACTCCATTCTGCTGAAGCGGCTTCAGCTCTCTCTCCTGACATTCAGGTCTGTCTGCATTCCATCCCTGAAGCAGCCCCTGGGCGCATGGTTGCCGCTGTTCACCAGGGGCCGCCTCTGCTGCAGCAGGACGCCCACCTCCGCCTCCTGGAGGACCCGAGCGAGCTTGGCCTTCTGTCTTTGCTCGTGGCCTTCGGACAGCCAGCCCGGCAGTCTTTTCTTCCTTCTTCAAGTCTGGCTTCTGTTTCATTCTTCAGTTTCATTCTTCCCAGAACCCACTGATGGAACATTTTTTCTCAGGATTATCGTCTGTTAAATGTTGACAGTCAATTATACTCGCTATCACATTGTCCTTTCCTTGTTTTTAAGTCTTATTTTCTCAAATAGGCTAACACTTCTTGAAAGTACATTGGTTTAAATATTTTTCTATTGTATCATGTAGGTCTCACCCCATGGTTTCAAAAATACGTATTGGAGGTAATTCAATACTCCAAATTCTAGCAAAGTCTCCTGCGTTTGAGCTTCCAAATGACTTGTTAGGTCCCAATGGGTTGTCTGTCCTGATAGCATTCCAACGTGATAGTTCAGAGTTTCTTCTTTATTGTCATTTAGAGAAAATAGTAAGTACAAAAAAAAATAGCAAGAAAGTGAAATGACTTTATTTGTGAAAGAAAAGACACCCACCAAGATTGTGACTTTTCCCCTAAGAGCTAAACAGAGCCTTAGTGAACCAAACTAAAGAGTGAATGCTTTGCCATAACCGGTTTGGCTCAGTGGATAGAGCATCGGCCTGCGGACTCAAGGGTCCCAGGTTCGATTCTGGTCAAGGGCATGTACCTTGGTTGCGGGCACATCCCCAGTAGGAGGTGTGCAGGAGGCAGCTGATCGATGTTTCTCTCATCGATGTTTCTAACTCTCTATCTCTCTCCCTTCCTCTCTGTAAAAAAATCAAATATATATACATTATATATATAGAGAGAGTGAATGCTATAAATGAAGTGAGGCAAACCTCAGCATTTGGAGCAATTTTCAAAGATCACCTTTTAAGGAGCAACTGAATTGTAATTGCCCGGTGGTTATAAATGGGAGTGTTTCCATAGAGCCCATTTAAGCTGCTGCGATAATTGGGAGGAAAGAATTACTCTTTATTCAGTCTTCTGTCTTAATTGGACAGTTAATTTTAAAAATTAAGTCAAACATAGGTGAAACTATTTTAGATTTGATTCTCTTTTTTTTATAAATGAGAAAACATTTGCATTTCACCAGTAAGTGGTTAGCATTCTTCTCTTTGAAGATCTCAAACAGAAGAAATTCCAGGGACTCGGGGGTTAGCTGAATGCATTTTCACATTAATATTCATAGGCCCTTCCCATGCTCACTTGCTCTGGAATAACCTGGAGGAGGCTCGCTTCAATGTTTTGGGATCCACTCAAGAAATTCAAAACCCTTGGAACTGACCCCTATCCTCACCCCCAGAGGGTGAGAGAAAATGTGCCTTTCATTCTGATTATTATTAACTAATCAAAGGCCCGGTACATGGATTCATGCACCGGTGGAGTCCCTCGACCTGGCCTGAGGGGATTGGGCCGGAATCGGCTCTCCGACATCCCGGATTGCGAGAGGACAGTTCTCTGGTGATGCATCCCGGAATCAGGCTCCCTCCTCTCTGGTTCTGGGTGCGTCACCCAAGAACCGCAGCCGCCAAATCACTGCAGCCCAGCAGCTCCTGCATTGAGCATCTGCCCCCTGGTGGTCAGTACATGTCATAGTTATTGGTCAGATAGTTGAACGGTCGGATGGTCACTTAGGCTTTTATATATATAGATGCTTATTAGGCAGCCATGAGCCTTATCCCGAAATACAGGTGTAAAAGGGGAGACAAAAATGGGAGATGTTTTTCACTGCCAGGGCTCAAAACTGAGTATAGACTATGAATAGCTAGAAAACTCATCAAGGCAACAGGAATGCTGAGACTATGATGCAGAAAGCCATCAAGAGAAGCTGATGCTGCCTGGCCAGTGTTGCTCAGTGGTTGAGCATCAGCCCATGAACCAGGAGGTCTCAGTTTGCTTCCCAGTCAGGGCACTTGCCTGGGTTGCAGGCTCCATCCCCAGTAGTGGTGTGTGGGAAGCAGTCCATCAATGTTTCTATCCCTTTATCCCTCCCCCTTCCTCTCTCTAAAATCAATTAAAAAATTTTTTTAAATAGAGAAGCAGACACCATTGAGACCCAGTGCTCCCTTCTCACACCTGGAACAACACCACATGTCTCTCCTCCTGTCGAGGCCACACCTCTGCTCCTTCCCCTTCTCTGTGTCAAGGTGGAAGGTGGTGGTTCCCAGGTCTTGAGGCTGAGTCTCCCTAGGGGAGCTCGCATGAGGGTAAACACCAGTAGCAATTCTGAACCCCAAGTCCACACTCCTGGGAGAAGGAATCCGGTTGGCTCTTTTTGGACTGACTGTCTACGTTCGATAGAATTCGCTAAGGGACAAGGCTGGGAGTCACACCATAGAAACGTCGAATGCCTGACAACCGAACCCAAAGAAGTACAGATCTAAAAGTAGTGGGAGTAGACATTTTAAAAAGTTCTGTGTTTGCCCTCCGTCTGATCTCCCAGAGCCGGACATCTGGACCCAAATTACTTTTTCATGGTTTACTTAATATTTTAAAAGTGTATCCTGAAAATCAGTAATGAAAACCTTCATGCTTTCTCTGAGTTTCTTCTCTGACCTGTCCACGAACTTGTCCAAAACTAACATTCAGTTAGATTCCTTTCAGTGGTGGTGTTTGTCAGAATGCAAGCATGAAGCAGCTGCAGAAGGAAGGATTGGATGAGAGAGAGAGAGAGAGAGAGAGAGAGAGAGAGAGAGAGAGAGAGAGAGAGTTGGGTTGGGGAAAGCAGAAGAGACAAAAAATACATTCCCAGGTAGAGCAGTGTGACCACAGCTCCCCACAGATACACCGGGATTCTACTCTCCACGTGGGTCCACACCTCAGATGGTGGGGTCCGAGGCCCAGGAGGAAACCCAACGAAACCACTGGACCTTCCCGAGAGGCTGGCCGTGCGCTGAGGCAGGGGAAGCTGAGGTTTGGCAACATTTGAGCTCACCTGGGTGGTTCGCTCGGTGGTCCGGGCCTGGAAATACCGGTTCTAACACAGCACAGCGGTAAAGTGGTCTCCAGACTAGCAAGGCAGTGGGTCACTGTGAGTAGCTTCGCAGATGCAGAGTGTGAATGAGGGCAGTGGGAGCATTCTGAGACAGAAAGATGTGCCATGTTTTAGAGATATTTGGTTTCCAGAAGCCAAAATGGCAAGATGACAGAGTGAAACTAGCAGAGAGTCTAAATGCTCTTGAGTGCTTAAGTTATGCACGTTGAAAAACAAAAATTCAAAACTTTACATTTAACATTTGAAACGTCCAAGAGTCCAATTTAGAATAAACAATGAATAAATAATTCATTCAACGGGTATTTTTTAGCACCTGTTTTTTTGTTTTTGTTTTTGAGTTGGCAATGGAGACCTGGACGTCTCTAAACCCAAGAACACCAATTCAGCAAGTATTTGGCGATTTGTTCTTGTAAGCCATCTGTCTCTAGAGCCACGGAATAATGTTTTGGAAGGTTATTATACCCCCAATTGAAAACTGTTCTTTTATGTTCATCAGTTTTGATATCATGCTTTAATTGTACTTACTTTGCATGGTGACAATAAAAGGGGTCAGCTGCATGCACTGTAAACACCTCACTCAGTTCTTCCCTCTGGTGTTTTTAAGGAGCGCCGCAAATTCGGCCCCTTGGGATGGAATATTCCCTATGAGTTCAATTCTGCCGACTTTACAGCCAGCGTTCAGTTTATTCAGAATCACCTTGATGAATGCGACATTAAAAAGGTGAGTGATATTTTTTCTCTTTTCTATTTTTATCGCTGTCCTTAATCAAGCCTCTATAGACATTTTCAGTGTGATATTCAGAGAGCCTGCTGAGGTCCCCCAGCTCCTGCACACAGCCTGCTCCTTCCCATCAGCCGTGTGCTGGCCCAGCCCTCCCTCCTGCCCCCAGGAGTGCGTTCGGACTCTCACACCCTTGTGTCCTCATGTCACAGCCAAGGGTCCCAGTGCGCTTCGAGAGAACGCACCTCAAGTCACACTTTTCTTTCTTCCTCTCCCTGTGTCTCCGCAGAAGTGGCATGTTATCTCCCAGCCACGGGGAAGTCCTTTTTTCACGTGAATCACATCTGAACGGATGTTTAAGCTCATGCATATGAATTGTAACAATTCCTGACAGTGGTCACTAATTATCCTCTTGAGCACTCTGGTCTTCAGAGTGCTCCCACAGGCAGGGCCTCATCCCATTTTCACGGCTCTGTGGGGCAGACACAGAAGCCATTACTGGTAGCCCCTTTTTACTGATGAAACAATAGACAAAAGAGAATAAGGGACTTCCTCAAGGTCACAGGACTGAGAACGCAAACCTGTTGTCCTTTCACACGGGAGCTGGAAAGGCCCGTGATCTGTCTCTCTGTGACCTTGAGCAAGTTCCTGAGCCTGTTTCCTCCCCTATGTCCTGGCTCTGGCTTCTGTGGAGAGTAAATGAGTCAGCAGGTGACAGCACAGTGTGTGGTGCTAGTAGGGCTCAAAGTGCCAGCGCCCCGCTCCCCTCTCCTCCTAGTAGGTCCTGAGGAAGATTATAAACATGGCACCGGGGGACGGTGAGCCACGGGGAATCTTCATCTGGGCCGGTGGGAAATCCAGGGTCAAACCACCGTTTTTCCTTGCTGCTACAAGGGGATAATATACTGACTATGACGTTTTGATGAAAACTTGTATCACATTGGGTTCATATTCTGCAATTATCAACCTTTTGAGCTCGGCGTGTCAGCATTTTGAAAAACCCTAATTTAACTCTGGTGCCGTGTCACATATAGAAATTTTTGATATTTGCAACCATAGTAAAACAAAGACATATTTTTGATATTTATTTTATATATTTAAATGCCATTTAACAAAGAAAAATCAACCAAAAAAATGAGTTCGCGTGTCACCTCTGACACGCGTGTCATAGGTTCGCCATCACTGGCATATACAAACAACAGTGCTCTTGAAATAGTTGCTTTGAAAGGCCACGAAGCTGAAAAGTAAAGTTTTAATCAAGAGGAAGTAAAGAAAAATCAAGCATCCTTACGTCTCCTACCTCAGATGTTATTGAAGGGATTTTTAAATTAAAAAAAACTATTAATATCTGAAATGCATTGCAAGCATAAAATGGCTATGGATATTAATCCATACTTTAATGTAGTTGTCGCTCACAGAGTGAGATACCAAAGGATTTTGTTGCAGAAACATCTTGTGAGTAATTTCCAAGTTGTTCTCGCACTGATTCAGAAGGCATATTGCTAAGGAAGCATATCAGAGCGTTGATGACTTGATTTTTCTTTTCTTCACTAAACACAACCTTTCCTTGTCTAACAGCTCAGCACTACTGTAATGAGCATGATAGGTGATTACAAACACAGAGTGAAAAATAGGGTGTTTTAAACCACAGGTGAGCGCCACGGTCACAGCTGTGTGGCGTTGTGGAACTGTCTTTCGTGAACAAACCGTGGCCGTTCCAGTCGTGTAAGCGCAAAAGATCTGTTAATACAACATGATGAGAAGCTTCCGCCGTCGAGCGGGGGCTTCCTTTTCCAGACCTCGGCCCCTAGGAGAGACCCGAAATGTTTAGGGGTTTTTGTTTGGATGGACAGTGAATCACTCTTTGTTCTTCCTAACGCAGGGTGTATCGTGGAGTACAGTTCGGTACATGATTGGAGAAGTGCAATATGGAGGCAGAGTGACAGACGACTTTGATAAACGTCTACTTAATTGCTTTGCTAGAGTAAGTCAATTGTGGTGGTGGGGGGAGGGGAGGCATGGAGACACATTTTATTGCATTTTCCTTTTAAGCAAAAACATTTTTTTTAGTAATAGATGAGCCAAACTTAAGGGGGGAGGGAGTGGGCGGGGAAGGTACAGAGCCGAGCTGCTACAAAGAGTCAGCCAACAAAACCAAGTTAAAACCAAAGCCAAACCAGCCAGCAATCTGCTTGTGGTCTGTGAGTCTTCCGTACAGATGAGCTGCGCATGCCCAGGGCCCCCCACCCCCTCCTCCTTGAAAACACTGCACATAATTTCTCTGCTTCTTCCTCTGAAACCACGCAAAGCGATTTCAAGCCCCAAAATAACTGATTGGAAAATGAACCATAATTTGAGTTTTCTCATCTTTTCCATTAGGACAGACAATTGAAAATTGATGAAGTGCTCATTTTTTTTTCTCTGTGCCCAGTAAAACCCACATATATCATATTGAACATTTTCTAGAGAATGTTCTTAGCAATTATGGCTTTCACCTTTCACATCAAGGATGAATAGTATAAATAGCCCATCAGACTCAAACTCTTCTTAAAATTTTTACATGTCAAAGAAGGAATATATATTACCTAAGTGGGAGAAAACCAGATATGTATTTTATGGTTACTTGAATTCTTTATATTAGAATCTATATTGGTAATTCTCTGTGTCAATGATTCTCCCCCTCTAAACAAAATTAAAACCTCAACAGAATTAAGAACACATGCTTTTGGGGTTACTTTGGTAAATTGGGGGTTTACCAGGAAGCTGATGTTTCCTTCAACCCTTTACACGTTCTTCTGAAGCCGTGTGTGGAGAGGTGTGTGTCGGTAAGGATGGTGAAGGCAGGAGTCAGGCTGCTGGACGTCAGACCGGTCCACACCTCCCAGAAAGCCATTGGGCAAAATTTACTAAAATTAAGTATCCTGGGTAGGTCCATCCCAGAGTATTTCTAGGAAGAGTCTACAAATGGATATGCTGACAAATGTTCATGGTGATACCGTGTGAACCTAGGAGTCTTCACGGGGATGGAGGAGCTGAATGCCGCGGCCGCCTGCCGTGGAACACAACGCAGCACCGGGAGGAAGCGATCCGTGTGACAGCAGGCACAGGTCTTACAAACTTACTGTTGAGTGCAGAGGTTAATGAAATCAAATGAGATCTATAAAGTTATACGTGTATATTTCGCAAGGATAAATGCATCGTTGAGGACATAGATCAAGGACATTTAAATAGATGCCCTCCGAGGGAAGGAGACGGGGAGTGGATAGCAGGGCTGAATGGGGGAAAGACTAAGGTGAAAGGTGCCTAGACTCATGAGAACAATAAAATCAAGGAATATGATAAACTCATATCCAAGGTTCAAAGGAGAAAAAGGTATCGCAACCTCAGCTTCATCTTATCTTCTAACCAGGAGATCTAACTTCTTTGTTGCCACTTCACCCTATGTTACCTAGCATTGTCTGAGAGGGAATTGGTTTAATTGTATATCAGTGCCTTCCAGTGGGATCCTCCATTCCTGTGACTTTCAGTTTGAGGCTAATCTTTTCTCTATTCTCAGCATCTTATGGTGTGTCTCTCCTAAAACCAACAATTGTAGAACCTTATTTGTCTTTGGAGTATGACTGTGTGTCTTTGTAAAGTACCTTCTAGAATCTCCCACAGTAATTCCATGTAGACTTCATATTCTGTATTTTTAATATATCCCCAAAATGTCCTCCAAATTGGATGAAACTCAGCTATTTGTGTTAGTGAATCCAACTAGTTGTGTGCGTGTAAATAAATTAATGGAAAAACAGGTGGAGACTTCTATTTGCTTTTATAAATATACTAGAGGCCCGGTGCACGAATTCATGCACGGGTGGGGTCCCTTGGCCTAGGTGGCAATGGGGGCCAATAGGGGCCTTCTCACCCAGTCCTGCCGGGAGGGACTGCTGGAGGTTGGCCCAGGAGGTTGGCTGTGGGAGCACACTAACCACCAGGGGGCAGCTCCTGCGTTGAGCATCTGCCCCCTGGTGGTCAGTGCGGGTCATAGTGCGTAACGGTCACTTAGACTTTTATATATGCAGATGTCACCTGACAACACAGAGCTCACAATGGTCACTGGTGGTCTATGTGCTGAGGGCCCCTGGCCTTCCCCTGCCTTGTCATTCCCATCCCCAAGAACATAATCTGTCTCAGAATGACCACGATCACAGCACTGTGCTCTCTAATAGCTTCCAACTGTTCCCCACTTCTTAAATTAGCACGTCATCAGCCTGACAAACACAGTCATCCGTAATAGGGCCCCCTTCACCTTTCCTGTGCTCTCTCTCACCACCACACTAGATTTACCCGAGCCTTCATCCTTTCCCCCACCTGCCTCACATGTGCACTAGTTATTCTGTGTCTTTGCCTGTGTGGTCTCCCCATCACCAGTCCCACTGTCACAATCCTGTCCTTCAAGGCTTACCTCCAAAATCACCTCTTAGATAAAGCCTTACCTGACATGCCTTACCTTATCACTTCTATTTTCTCTCCCATACAGGTCTGGCTGTGCTTTCCTCCTGCTTTACGCCTCCTTGGTACTTGGCTTATTTTTATTTCCCCGGCTCTTGCCTCGGTGCCCTTTGTACTGTGGCTATTATGTAATCGGCTTAGCCCTCCATTGGGTCACAAGCTCCTTGAAGGAAAGGACTGTGTGTGCCTCATCTTTGCACTCTGTTCTCATTCTAAGCTCAGTGCCTCATGCGTGGAAGTTGAATAGGATAGGATTTCGGCAAATGGAGCAACCGGGAGAACGGGTACACGGGGTGTTTCATATTCAGAACAATCGCTGGCCCTAAAAAGAGTGGGAAGAAGGCTATGGAGCAAAGAGACTGGCGCAGGTGTGGTTAGCCTGAGTAAGCACAGTCCCACCCCTTTCCACGCAGCGTCCTCGAGAGATTCAGACATCCGCCTGCTTTTCTGCTCCCCTGTCTCCCCATTAGCTCCCTTCCAACCGGGAAAATTGCTCTGTTAGACACTAAAGTCATTGTCTCAAATCGGGCTGGTAGGCATTCAGCATTATTTTTTCCTCTTCAGAATAAGTCTGTTCACACCGAGTATATATTTGTGCTCTCGCTGCTACATTACACATAATCAGCTCATATGGAATGAGAAAAGGATGTCCTTAAGCGAACAATAAGACGGTTGGATACATTTGCTTCTTGTGGCCAAGGACAGAACTTAATTAACGGGGGAGCTCTCCAGCGCAGGGTGGGAAGGGAGAGGCGTGGAAGTTTTCCTGGCCTCGTGCTGTGCTCAGTGCTGCTTTGAGCCCCAGTGAGCACAGACCCAGCCCCCCTGGCAGGAGCCCCGCTGGGGGGAGAGGGCGGCACTGAAAAGGCCAGATACTGTCTCGTGTGTGTGTGTGTGTGTGTGTGTGTGTGTGTGTGTGTTGCCTCATCTATTCTGCAGTGTGTTGCCACTCCTCTTTAAAAGAGGGATCGAGTCCTGGCCAGCGCACAGACATGTTGCCTGTTCAATTCCCAGTCAGGGCACATGACCCAGTAGGGGGATCGATCCCCAATAGGGGGCATGCAGGAAGCAGCTGATCCATGTTCCATTTTCATGGATACTCTCTCTCTCTCTCTCTCTCTCTCTCTCTCTCTCTCTCTCCCCCTGTCTCTCTTTCCCTCTCCCTTCCTCTCTCTCTAAAAATAAATTAAAACCTTAAAACACACACACAGAGGGCTGGCGGGTCAGCCAGGTACTGGATCCGGGAGCAGACTTGGGCGGCCGGCTCCGCTCTCCACGGTCAGCAAATATCTTCTCTGCTGTGGGACGGGCTGGGGCTCCATTGCTTTTGCATCCCGGCCTCTTTTCTTCATCTGCGAGCTCATCATTCTGTCAGTGGCTGCATTTGGGTGCGTTCAGCCTCAATATTAAAAACTATTAAAATGGAAATAAGGCAACCCTTTCTCTTTCCCAGTAGCAGTTTTCATTTAGATGTTTATCGACTTTATTTCTTCTCTTTTCTCTCCCACGCAGGTCTGGTTCAGCGAGAAGATGTTTGAGCCCTCGTTCTGCTTTTACACCGGATATAAAATCCCCCTCTGCAAGACCTTGGACCAGTATTTCGAGTACATCCAGTCGCTGCCCTCCCTCGACAACCCCGAGGTCTTCGGGCTCCACCCGAACGCCGACATCACGTAAGTTCCTGGCCCTTTCGAAATCTGAAGGCGTCATTTGTAACTCAGCCTGGCAGTAATGACGCGTTTCCTCTCTCTCTCAGTCTCTCTCCTTTCCCTGCTTTTCATTTTATTATGAAAAATTGTGTCACTTTCTGTCTCCCAATTACAACTTTGTCGGATCTTGGCAGCTCTCCCCTCACTAAATCCCGATGCTCCGGAGTTTATGGCAGCGTGAAGGCTCTAATTTATGCACTGATTACTTCTCTGTCGTGTCATAAAACCAGCTGGTGTGATTGGCGCCGATGCTCTCCACGGATAGGACAGTAGTCCTTGCCTCTTACCTCAAAAAAGTCCATGAAAAATAATGGTCCTAAGTGGAATCTAGCAGGGCCAGGCGGGGCGAGAGAGGAGGGCGCAGTGGTACTTGTGCTTGATCTGCTCCCTGGATGCTCACGGCCTCCTCTGTCGCTAACCGTCCACGGGGCACCAGGCAGTGAGCAAGGCGCACAGGGCGGGTGAGGGGAGGTCCCTGCCCCAGTCGCACTGGCCAGAGGCGGGTGAAGAGGTAGGAGGGGCATCCAGGTCCCAAGCCCCTTCCAGGACCCTCCTGTGGAGGAGGTCGCATCCCTCATCTCCCCGGAAGTCCCACCTGCAGACCGAGCCTCTGGCTCTACGGAGAGGCCCCAGCTCAGCCTCCTCTGGGTGGTCTCCTCCGGCCCATTGACGCAAGGCCACAAAGTCTACTCTAGGAGCGTGGTTTTAGGAAGTAGAGAGAAGCCAGCAGCCGCCTGGAAGGTTGATCTAGGGCAGTGGTTCTCAACCTTCTGGCCCTTTAAATACAGTTCCTCATGTTGTGACCCAACCATCAAATTATTTTCGTTGCTACTTCATAACTGTAATGTTGCTACTGTTATGAATCGTAATGTAAATATCTGATATGCAGGATGGTCTTAGGCGACCCCTGTGAAAGGGTCGTTCGACTGCCAAAGGGGTCGCAACCCACAGGTTGAGGACCGCTGTTAAGCTGTGATGGCTGAGACGGTGTGTGGCCTGCCCTCTCCCCGTCACTCCGCTGCAGCCGGTCCTCACCTGGTCCTCTGCCCTCACAGGCAGCCCCGGAGCCCCCGTGCCCTCCAGTCCTGCCTGCGCCTCACCCTTCACCAGGCTTGGCCTCCTGGCCTCTGTCACCCACGTTGATTCTAACTTCTCAGTTCCCTCTCATCTCTCTCATGTTCTTTTCATCTTCAAAGATGTGAGCGTCGCTCCAAAGGCCCACGGATGGCTAACGCTCCCTTCAGACCCCACGGGAGGAGCCGATGGCCCTTTGGTGGCGGCGCTGGCTGCTCTTTGAAGAATAAAAAGCCGTCATAAAGTTAGCTGGAGGCAGGAAACAATTAAAAGGATTCCTCGGGGACCCATTTGCGCATCAACTTAAACATTATCTGAAAGAGAAAACAGAAAGAGGTTTGCTTTCGCTGAGACTTTTAAAAATGTGAGTCGGACCGCATCAGGCCTCTGCCCAGAACCCTCTGAAGGCTCCTCTTACTCTGAGTCAAGGTCCAAGGCCAACAGTGACCTCCAGGTGACCTCCAAGGCCCAATAATTCCATCTGCACCCACCCCTGGCTGGTCCCTTTCTGTTGCCCCCCCCTCCCCCCTCCCCATGGCCATCAGCTCCAGCTACTGCCGGCTTCCTGTCCCTCAGACAGGCCCGAGGCTCTCCCCGCAGGCTACCTGCACTTCCTGGTGGTCCTTCCCACGCAGCCCTGTGGCTCACCTCTTCACCTCTTCCGTCCTTTGCTGAAATGTCAAAGAAGCCTTCCCTGGCCGCCCTATTTAGCAATGGCTAACCACTCCCCACCACCTCACAGTCCATCCTCCCTGTCTGCCTTTTTCTATAGGTTTTCTCACCAGCTGACACATCTGTATGTATTGTTTGCTGTCGTCTGGCTGCCATCATTCAACATAAGCTCATTCTGTCGACGCTCTTGCCTCTTTTCACTGCTGTTCCTCCCGTGCCAGCCCGTGCCTGATGGCAGGGAACATTTGTTGACTGCGACCGCCATACGCAGTTCTTCATGTTGTGGAGGACCCAGTGAGGGGGCTAGTCCATAGAAAGGTCTCCTGATGCATGTGAGCGGCCGGAAAATGGTCAGTAGGTGGTAATGCACTTGTAAAGGAGCAGGTGACGTGGTCTCGAATGAGGCCTTAGAACTTGGGCTCCATCCTTGGCGAGAGCCCTTGGAGCCGTGGGAGCCGGTGCCTAGGAGCACAGAGCAAGGCTGGCCGCATCTCACCCTGGAACAGCCCGCGCACCCGCGCCTGCATCACCGCGGGCAGTTTGATCACCAGCTCGCAGGGAAGATAAACCGAAGCTCGGAACAGCTCAAAGCAGGGCAACTAAAGTGTAATTCAAATGGGAAGCCAGAGAGAGACTTTCCCTGGACTTTTATTGGAGCCATTACAAGCCCTCACACGAGTTGCAAGTACGCAGTAAACTCTCATAGACCCTTTACTGAGAGTCACTGATGACTCACATTTGGTTCCATTTGCATTTTCTTTTTCTATGTTTAAACCTCTGTGTATTTATATGTCTACAGCTACGTCCATATATAAGCACATATCTCTCTCTCTCTCTCTCTCTCTCTCTCTCTCTCTCTCTCTCTCTCCCTCCCTCCCTTCCTCCCTCCCTCTCTCTCCTTGTAGCCCCTCTCAGTGGATGAGTTAGGAAATAAGTATTTTTTTAAACATCATAGGCCGATACTAACAGGTCCGAGTCCAATTGTATACCTCAGGGCTGTGCCTTGTCTTCCCTCATTTCATGTTGCTGTCTCTTTCCTCCCATGGTGAGAACTCCGGTTCCCAGCAACTTCAATATCTTTACTCACTTGCTCTGAACACCCCACCAGCACCCCAATGTCCTACGTGCAGGTCAAGGTTTCTTTGCTGACCTTTTTGCCCTTAGAACAGATCCCACTGAGGGCGCACAGGGTGCTCTGCTCAAAAGTCAGGCCGACTTTTTTCTGTGTGGTTGTGCCATCCAGTGATCTGTAGGTACTTTGTTTTTGTTTGTATTACATTTTAGTTTTTTTCCATCTTGGTTCATGATGGGTTTTTAATATATTTTTCTTGATTTCAGAGAGGAAGGGAGAGGGACAGAAAGCTAGAAACATCAATGAAGAGAGAGAACCATTAATTAGCTGCCTCCTGCACACCACACGGGGGATTGAGCCCGCAACCCAGGCCTGTGCCCTGACTGGGAGTCGAACCATGAGCTCCTGGTTCACAGGTTGACACCCAACCACTGAGCCACGTCAGCTGGGCTGTCCATTGTTTTAATTATGTGAAATGTGAACATGGCTGAGAGTCACAACTAGATAGTAAGTTGTCCTTAGAGAAGTCTCATCTCCAGCCCACTTCCTCCTCTCTTTAGAGGCACCCACATGCATTAATTTCTGGCTTATCTTCCCTGTGCTCTTTTTGCCCAGACATACATACACATGTACTTAGATATTCTCATGATCCTTTCTTTCTTAAACAAAGCTGCCATACGAATTCTGTGTCTTGCCTTTTTCACTTAATAGTGTATCTTATAACCACTCCGTTCAGCTCATAGATGCTGTCCTCATCACTGTACAGCTGCAGGCTCCTCGGTGCTCATGTTCCATCGTCCCTTCATCCTTCTCCTGAGGGTGGCCCTTTAGGGTTGCTTCCAGTGCTTCACTATCCCAAATAACTCCTCAGCGAATAACCTCCTGCGTGCGGTTTCCCATTTTGTGGGGCATGTGTTTTCAGGATAAATTGCTCTGCTGGGATGCTGGCTAGACCAAGGCCTAGTGAAGGTTGCCGAAGTCCCTTCCACCGCCTGTGCTGTTACTCTCACCAGCAGTGCGGGCGTGCCTGGCCCCTCAGTCTCACCCACAGAGCAGTGGTGAGGTTTTGAATTGTCACCAGAACGGCAGTGAGAAATGGTGCCTCAGCATGGTTTTATTTATTTTCTCTCATTTTGAGTGAAATTGGGCACATTTGCCTACATTTACGGGCTATTTGCACTAATCGACCACCTTGGAGGCCCTGTGTGTGATGTAGGCTGCAGTCGGGGCCGGTGATTGGCTGCAGAGGTGGAGTGAAGCTGCAGACAGGTCCCAGATGGGGACTGA